TCATCAGAAACAAGTGCGCCAAGAGCTTCGACTTTCCCTACAAGCTATTCATACTTGAACTGCGGAAACGGCGACGTGGCGACGACAAGCACGCCGACTGCATTGTACATGATTAAGAATGATGGAAATCAAGATTTGAAACAAATTGAAATTACGTGTCAAAGTCGAAATGCGACCACTTAGATAAGAATGTAGACCACGAGATCCAAAACAACTTTCCTCTAACATAACGCCGTTGGTCAGTGGAAGCGCGATTCGCTGCAGTGATCGTGACGAGGCTTACAAGAACATTCTTGGTTCGCTAGGCAGTGCTGCGGATTGCGCCAAAGCTTGCCTACAAGAAAGTCTTTGCTATCGCAGTGAGTTCTACATTGCTGCAGTCGCTACGTGTAAGCTCTATCTTAAGGCTATCTTGAAGATGGGGGGAACTTGGAGGGGGTCGCGGCTATCAAGGTTTGATTTTAAAGCGACCCCCCTTCCATGATCCTCCAGAAGTAAGCTCTAACTATCAGCCGCCACGATGTGCTGTGTTGGAGAACACACTGAGCGCAAATAGCGCAGCAGCGCAAAAAACGGACACAAGCGCGACAGCCCCGCCACCCCAAGATATCTCCGAAATCTGGGAAAAAGCAACTCGCGGTGACGCTGGAGTGTATATTAAGGGTTTCCACATTACATTCTTCACTACCATTCTGGACTTTTTTTCAGTAGGAAAGAAGTCGGGGATGTTTTGAAGAATGCAACTCCGCAACCTCTAAGTATAAGAAAGCGGGAAATATGCGCTGTCTACTCGACAAGGCAGCTAGAGCAGCAATGGCGAAGAGAAATTATGCATGGGCGGGTTTGAGTTTGTTATTCTTTGCATAATTTAAATTTTAATATCAGAGTCAGGTCTTGATCTATAATGTGTGAAACTAAACTGTACATCACACGAGCATTATGTGATAACTACCCCTTCTGTAAGCGGGAAGCAGAGCTTGACTTACCCCTTCTAACAAAAACCACCCGCGACCGGCTTGTTCGGCGACGACGCAGATATTGACGGTGTTTCTGACGCAGAGCCAGCTGTCCTGGTCGACGTTGGCGATATGCGAGGACATCCTCTCGAATGTCAAAAAGTGTGCGACTCACTGGGTTCGAAGTGTCGCGGGTTTACGACAGTGGCTGATGCAGCAGCCTTGGCTCCGAAAAAAATCAAAGTGGAGTTTCCTTTGACTCAGAAACGTCTCATGGTGACGACAAAGCAAAAATTGGCGGCAGATCCACAAGTTAATACTAACGGAACCAGGTCGGGGTCGCAAAAAGCTCCAGACGTAGGAATGAGCGAGTACGACGCTATGGATTGCTTAGACTTCGGAGACATTGCTTTTCTAGTACAGAAAGACGACGCCCCACCGACTGTTGTGAAACCGGAGAAGGCAGAATCTATACAAGTCCAAGAGGACATCGCGAAGATCGCACTAGGAACGACCACGACTGGCAGCTTGTCGGAGGAAGATAAGCGCAGTCTTGCTAGGGAACAGTGCCGAGACGGACAGCCAGGTACTGTCTGTCGTGTGAAGCAGCGCAAACCAGGCATGACTCTGGCTTTGGAGCTAGTGGTTCCAGAAGGCGCGAAAGAGGTGCGCTTCTACCAGCGGGCAACGTATTGTCGACCGGCGGCTGTGGCTGCCGACAGGGCGAACGGCGAGGGCGACGAAGGTGGTGACTATGTGTCGCTTTTGCAAGAGGAGTTTTCAGTATTCAACTCTGTGAATTCGAAACTGTCGAAGAAGAAAACCTCATCTAGTACAACTGGTAGTGCTACATCAACATCGAACTCGAAGGCTAGCACTTCAACTTCAAACAAGGCGAATAAGAGTTCCAGTACTAAAAAAGTCTCCTCCACACATCAAGCTCAACAATCTCACGGTCGCAAGCGTACAGCGCGGCTGAAGGGTGCTAGTAGCATGTTGCGCCGTCTGCTTGCTCGCGCAAAACGGGTCTCGAAGGCTAAGGCAACGGCTTCAGGCACTACATCAGCTTTGTTAGGTGAAAACAGCCTTCTCGGAGGCACCTCAACATCTAGTACCACTGAGGAGTTGTTGCATTCGCTCTCGCGAAGCGAGCGACGCCTTACTCAAGTGGTCAAAACGTTCCACGAAATGTATGACAATCCGTTCCCTGCGAGCAATAAGAACGAGAAAACGGCAACTGTCACCGACGGTGCTAATGGCGAGAAAATCGACGTTGAGGTTATGGCTTGCTTCCAACAGTCAAATAATCCTCCAAGGTGCGCATTTCAACTCCAAGGTGCGCACTTCCAAGTCAGCTTAGTTCTCATACATTAGTGCAAGCTCTAACCAGCATCTAGACACGGCAATTTTGATCTCGATGACAACGATGATGCCTGGCGCAGATCCAGGAGTAGCACCACAATGGACTCCTATCCAGCAGGTTTCTGCACGATCGTGGAAAATCTCTGCATGGAACAATGTCGGGATTTAAGGCTACTCTCGACGACAATTCATGGTTACTTAGATCAAAGTAAATCGATATAAGTCCATAGATTTCACTCATATTAAAAGGTGAATACAAGATAGTTAGATTAAGGAATACATGAAGGAAGGCTCTAACGGATCGAGCAGATCAAGAAGCCCGTTTGCCGATTCCACAGTGGAGCATTGGTCGACCCTAGCGCAGTCCAGAACATGCCTTCAGAATTTCTAGACGACCTTCTGCGCAATGTCAAGGACGACCCTGGAGCAGCGTGCTACATCAAACAGCAGAACAACCTGCGGGATGCGCTGCGAAGGCAAGGAGCGCCCTGCACAGCCGCGGAAGAAACCAGCGACTCGAGTGTGTGTCCGAAGCTTCTGACAGCAGAGGCAAAGGAGATTCTGATAAAGAGAGGCACAGTAGACATTTGCAGTTCAACAGACAACGGACAAACTACTCAACAGCAGTCCTCTGAAGCAACATCCTCAGCATCACCACCGACGCAAGTGATGTGTCAAGGCGTCTGTAGCGATTATCGGTCGAACTCCTGTGGTGCGCCGAGTGAGACAGTCGGAGGTTGTGACGTTTTTCCGGAGTCTAGTTTCCTCCACAGCTTGCGGACGATAGGCACCCGCTCACAGCGTAGTGGTGTTTCGAATCTAGCGGCATGTGCCGCTATTTGCGCTGCTTACTTTCCGCAATGCCGCGCGTATACGTATTCTTATGGCCTGGCGCTGAGTAGAAGTAGCTTAGACCATCAATATTTATAAAATGAAGTAGCTTCTTGTCATCTTTCAACATAAATTATGTGCCACCAATGTAGGTAGTAATGATCTAAGTACTACTCACTACCTTTCTACTTGAATAAAAAATTCTAACATTCCAACCAAGATCCGTCACGGAGTGACTACGGTACTTGCTATCTACACGCGGGACTGGACGGCGGCTTTCTCAATTTTCAGGACAGGCCAGATGGCGTTCGAGATATGCTGACGCAAGTCGTTGCCTCTGTAGGTCATAGTGCTGGCTTGCCTTGTACTGGCAATGAAGGCTGCTTCCGGGAGGAGGGCGTCAACTACTTGGACAGTCTTCCCGACGCGGAGCTACTGGGTCAGAATGGATTCTATAGATTCGTGAACTCTCCAGATACATGTGCGGTGTTTTGTGCGAATATGTTGGGATGCGTTGGCTACGTGTGGCGTAGGGAGCGCTTCACATCGCCTAGCAGAGGCTCGAATTGGCGTTCTGTGCTCTTGCAACCAAAACTACCAATCAGGTTCAAAGGTATGTGCACTTTGATCAAGAAGTGGGGTAACGCTGTTGCATCGTCATCTGGGTCGTCGTCTAGTGTAGGAGGAAGTGCAGGTAGTCCTGCTCCTAGTGGTACATCGGCGCCGGCCGTCGTTTTGACGAAGAAGCAGTCTACGATGTTCTTGCAAACAGACGAAGAGAACAATACTGAAGAAGTGGTTGGACGAGACCGTGCCACAAGTAGTGGCATTTTCTCCTTCCTACAGGAAAAACGGGTTAGTAAGGGTAGTAGAAAGAAAACTGCAACAGCAGCTTCCAGTGCTACAAATAGGAAGAACATGAAGAAGAGCAGAAGAAGTCGAGGCCTTGTTCACCAGAGGCAAACACCGACCAGCAAAGCACCGTCTGTAGTCACTGCCGCTCCAGATACCGATAAAGAGAAGCCTCGTCCTGCTCCTCAGTATTTCACAGTCTCTGGTCTTCCATGTCGCAAAGGTTGTCCTGTTTAAGGCTTTCCGAATTCATCCAGAGAAGCATCTCTGTCTCTGACCGTCAGTAGATGAATGTTGGTAATTCTAACTAGATGAATGTTCCAAGGGGAGCACAGTCAAAGATGCGTCTGCAGATGAATGTTGGTAAGGTCTAAGCCTCTTTCCGTGACACAACCTTCATGGTGGATTCCGAGACCTCAGCCGCAGTGACGCTAGCAGCAATTCCCAACGTCCCGTCTTTTGAAGCTTGTCGGCAGCGGTGCACAGAAGGAGCCTACCCAGCCTGTGGCATTTTCAAGTACGTTGCAGCTGCAGACCGATTCGATTACGGAAGATGCACATTGTTTTCGAACAAACTAGTTGCCGCTACAGCGCGACGTCCGGCTACGAAGAAAGCCATTCTTGGTAGTGCTTCACATCAAATTAGTGCTGGTGCTTCGTCCGGAGACGTTAGTACAACAGGTGCGCCGACTGCTGCATCACCTGCGCTCCTGGCTGAGGCTGAAGATCTAGACTCTTCACAACCGCTAGACCCTGAACTTCTCACTGCTTCAACAACGCTTTACGAGCGTTTAGCAACCGAGCTGCATCTGAATGCACGGCAACGAATGGGACTGTCGCTTTCCAACGGCCTCATCTTCATGCCGGAGCCAGGTATGGACATGGGCTTCCCTTGCATTGACGGGACTGCGTCGACACAACGTTACAAGAGGACGAATTTGCGCCTCAAGGCAAAAGGCGACAGCGGAGCGAGAGAGCATGTGGTCATCTACCCGTCTAGTAATGAGTGGGATCCATCAGTTGAACCCGTTCCAGATGGAGAGACTAGCACAACGACTACGACTACGCCGCCAGCTGATCCGCCAGATCAACCAACAACAGTGATGCCGACGACCACCGGCGATGACAATCAGGATTCCAGCAGTAATGAAGCGGAAATCAACAGCGCCATAAGTCTGATGTCGACGAAGAAGATTTCATCAACAGCAAGTAGCAAGAAGATGACAGAGCATCCTGTGGTGGAGGATAAGAAGAATAAACCGGTGGAGCCAAAGGTAGATGAAACAAGGCGAAAGCATGGAAAGCAGGATCCGGTAGGCGAAAGCAAGAACTTGGCAACGAGAGAGTCATCCTCATCTGCGAGGAAGGGGTCATCGACTAACCCGAGTAAAGAAACAGAAGAGGCTTCTAGCGAAAAATCTGCATCTGCCGCAACCCGTGATGAAGCTGCAGCAGATCCAAGTCCAAAGTTAAGGTTAAGGTCTATTATAAAGAGTAGTCCTCCTGCTCATCTCGCTCTCCTATATAGCTGGTCTACTAGGGTTTTGATGACCTATCATAGACAGCTCTAACAAAAGACGCAAAAAAACTGCAAGCCGTTTCGCAACTGCAGGTGGCAGCACATAGTGGTGTACTATCAGGGGAGGCATCTTCTGCCCTACCTACTTCCCAAGGAACAGCTAAAACAGCAGAAACGACCACTGCAGATCACACTGAAGCCCTTTCGGACTTCGCACTCAGTGTGCCGCAGGCGGGTGGAAACCCAGTGGTGTTCCGAGTAACACCAACATCGCAGCAGACCTCGATGAGCACTCTAGAAGACATGCAACAGGGAACTGTCTACAACTTCTTGCAGGAAACGTCTTCTAGTACTTAAGGCCTGTATTTTGGAACACTCTTGATGCCTGCAGTTAGAACTGAACATCGTGTTGTAGGTACGTTCGTAGTTTTTTCTAAGGTGGACAAGATTAAATTACACCTACTTAATATCTACTACTTGTGATGAAACCTACTTATCTACTACTTGTTAGACTTTAAAAATAGCTTTTCTTCTAATCCACCAACGAGCTAACCCAGCAACAGCCACTGCCACCTGGTCGTGCATCAGTCTTGCCGCAAAATATGGGTCCTTACAGTGTGGTGGATCCGGCTATTGCGACTACCAATCCGGACGACACCCCGGATAAGATTGCAGCTCAGAAAATGATTGCAGAACTCAGACTAAGGCTTCGTCCCCTAAAAATGGTCTCCATCTTCAAAGGGTCCATCTTCAGATGACCACAATGAAGCAGTCACATTTACAAACAAACTTTCAATTAGCAAGGCCTGTGATGATGAGTATGGTTGCTGCTATCTTGGGTCGTATATGGATGATACATAGGGCACCTTGGAAAAGCTCCGCTGTCCCATAATTACGTAAGGAGAAAGAAGCACCAGAAACCGGATGCGTCTCAACTCAAGATGGATGAAAGTTTTAAACTGAGCTCTGTCTAATCAGACTGTACATGTGCCTTCAAATTCAAATTCAAACTCTGTCTAATCAGAGAAGCTTCCGAAACATGGGATCTCGAACAATGGATGACTCGTTTAGCGCCTTTGCCTGAACGACTCAGGCAGATGAAAGCGAGGCGGATGTACGATGCTACATTGGACCGCATTAGCAACCTTCTTCTCCTCGGAAGTGAGAAGTTACCGATTTTGCTCTCGACGCAGAATCTACTCTACAGCTACCCTCGAGACCAGGTGAAGCAGCAACTGATGGCAAGGAGGACAGCAGCGCTTTTGAAACAAGGTCTGGAAGAACTACAACTCATCTTAGACGCGACAAAGGCAGCAGCGTTGCAGTCGGCAGCTTTAAGGCAAGTAGAAGTCTAATGTTCACAGCAGAGTAAATGAAATTATAGATACAGGTCTTTGAATGAATAGTCACATCGATTTTGATGATCATGAATTGAGTAAATCTAAATCTGAATCATGTACGAATTTGGTAAAGCACGACCACCAAGTACAACCATGTAGTTGTGGCAGTTCTAACAGTTGCGCCGAAGGCTCCTGCTGGTGCGGCAGTGGCAGCGCCGACTGCGAAAGGTGCGGCTGGTGTTGCAGGTGCGCCGGGTGCTGCACCTGCCGTGGGCTCTGCAACCGCCACAGGTGCTGCAGCAGTCCCCAGTGCCGCAACAGTTCCCAGTGCTGCAGCCGCTCCCGATGCTGCGGCTGCTCCAGGTGCCGCTGGTGCCCCGACTGCACCAGCAGCGGCAGGTGTCGCAGGTGCTGCTCCGGCAACGAACGCTCTAGCTGGGGCAGTGAAGATGTTCCAGGAACAAATAATGTCGCCGTCTTCGAGCTACCCAGGAGTACTAGAAGGCAATAGTCCTGATGGACAGCAGATTGCCCCCCAGGGTCAACCACTCTTCATCCCACAAAGCAGTACGACTGGTGTTTCTACTGGTGGTTACTACAGTCCGCCAATCCAAAATCCAACAATAGGGCCAAATCCCTATGCACCCGGATCTGGATTTCCGACACCTCCTTTAGACGCTTCAACTCAGCAACAACAGCAGCAGCAATTCTATCAGTCATACTACAATAATCCTGGTGGATCATTCGGATTCGGACAAGCACCATATGGTTTCTCTCCTGCGTGGTTTACTCCCAGCACTACGATGATGAACAACAATCAGCCTGGAGGAGCTCAAAGTAGTTTTGTAGGACCTCAAATCCCAGTCCTAACGCAGCAGCAGCAGCAGCAGCAACAGTTTAGCAATGTTGTTGGCACTAGTGCACCAGCAAATAACTACGACGCAGCACTTCAGCTTAGTAAAGTAACACAAGGTCTTCAACAAGGGCAAGGCAAGATGATATCAGAAGCGGAGAGCAAAAGCAGTATGGTTACTTCACCAATCAAGGACGAAAAAGATGCCTCTACCTCTGAGGGAGTAGTTGTAGTAAAGGACAAGCAAGAACAAGAAGATAAGAAAGCAGCGACTCCTACTTCTAGTAGCGAAAAAGCCTCTGCAGTACGCCCCGCCGCCTCCAGCACGGGAAAGACAGCAATTAAACCAGACTCAGAATCAAGTAGTAGCGAAGATAATCGTGTTGTAAACAAGAATGACGTTCAGCACCAGCAACAAAATAAACCCCTAGTATCGCCATTTAAGCAGGGTTCGAAGGCTGCCATACGGCGCAAGGCTGAAAGACACTACAAGAGAGCCGAAAAATTTATGGCTAGTCCATTCCTATCTGGTCCTGGTGTGTGAGGTATCTTGATACCTCACACACCAAGTAGTCCTCCTGGATAGATAGTAGTCCTCCTAGATAGATAATCTATCCTGAGAAGTGACGGTGCCCTCGATTTGCTGGACTGGAGAATAAGAAAGCAATTCACTCAAGCATAGATAGTGACTGACTAGCGTTAAGAATTGCGTAGCGGACGCTGGTGTCGGGAGTGCGCAGAAGAATGCTGCAAAGGAGCTCCTGGGCGAAGTGAAGGAATGGATAAACGACTACATATTGGCAGGCTCCTCAACTTCTAAAGTTAAGGCTACCTACCACCTGTCTAACCCATCCTCATTATAGGGATCTTCGATCCCTCAGTCGACCGCATGTTGCGAGGCGCATTAATATTATTGGGGGATCCTTCCCCACAGGGATGGACTAGTAGGGGTAGCGCTAATACATGCCATAGAGGTGTGTTACCAGGTCAAGAAGAGGATGCCTTGAAGGAGCTGGAGGCAGAGGTCGATACGGTCTGTATGAGTAGTCAAGCTTCGGCGGGAAAGCACAGCGATGCGAACAAGCAACTAGCGTTGCTCTCTCTAGCCACCACGATTTCGTCGTCGGCGGATCGGAGTTTGCAGTTATGTGGTCGAAAGTCACACTAATTTATATGTTATAATTGCAAATGTTGCACATGCAGATGCGTCTGGAGGACGACTATTCATAGATTTTTAATGCTAAAAAGAACGACAACAAGAATAAACTTGATATCATATCACGGTCTAACCGGAAATAGGTGGTCTCATCTTTTTCTAATCCCCACGCCCATCCCCCCAGCAGACGACACGTTAACCAGAGGTGGGGAGCCGTCTTTTCTGCCGACACCGGTTGGTTCCGGCACACAGGACTGTAAGACGTCCTACTGTCGTGGCGCAGAGGACCAGCAAATGCTCAGAGATCTGAAAACCCGTGAGGACTGGTTAGCAATGAATACGAACTACGGTGCAGGATGTGAGTGCCCAGACGGCACACGATATTGGATTCGTGCGCAGTCTCAGGATCAGGCAGCCTGTACCGACACGGCGTATTTTAGGGAAAGGTACAACTTTTTTCCGATTTTTTGCAGAATCTATCATCACTCTGGTTGGTGGAGATCGAGATTCTGATCATGGATTACTTTGCTTTGAACCACTGGTAACTTACTGTACCTTAACCTTATCCACTCATTAACTTTGAGTGACAACTGCCCTATTCACTCATCGACATTGACCCACGACTAGGTGCACAAATGGACGTGTCATAGTACCAGTGGATGCGACACCTGGCGGCGGTATCTGCGACAAGCTGTACGGACAACGAAACGACCAAGATGTGGATCTCTTCGTCATGGCCGTCCAGTGTTCTGCCAACACGCTACCCGTTTCTGTCAGCGCTGACTCGGCTTCAGCTTTAAGGATGGATGGTTGCTGTTTTAGCATGAGTCTCGTGCAGTACTAAAGAGACCTTACATGTATAATTTTGGAAGAGTCATTACGCACAAGCTAATACAAAAAGTTATGCATGTCCCAGAGTAGTTTATAGCACGCATGGTGCATGGAGTAGCATGGAGTGCATGGAGCGCAGAGCTTTATGGGGCGCAAGAAGCTCCCCCTTTAGCTCCATGCTACTCCATGTGATCCATGCACCCCATGCCATGCGAGCTGTGAAACCTTATAAATTGCTCTGATTTGTCCTATTAACAGGATCTTCAAAGATCAGGCCCACAATAACCCACTACTACCTCATCTGACTTACGACAAAACAAGCTCTAACAACAGCCTCATTCGCCAGCAGTCCTTCATCACCTGGAACACTCCAGAAACGCCTAGTGAACAACGTGTATCGACAGAACGTTTTCGCAGAGAAGGTAGGGGCTCATCCACTCTATCCAGACCGATTCCGGTTTGGTGGCTACTGCCGCTGTCCAAATGTTACGCCAAAGAGTTGTCTTTTCCAAATAGGAGGTGAAGCTCACTGGAGTATATTGTCGTATCTAATCCATGTTGAAAGATGACCTAGAACATTTGTGGAATCCATACATGCATAGAGTGTGTGAGTAAAAATCATGCGATCATCTCTAACAACAGTGAGGAGTATGGCGTGAGCTCTCGTGATGGCTGCGCCACCCTAGAGTGCGAAAACGGGATGGTCATGTCCTGCAATAGGTGGGAAGACCGGGATGCCTGGAGTGGTCACGCAGTGGAGTGTGCGGTGTAGTTTGTTGAGAAAATCGTCGATAGAATTTTGCGATATTTTGTTATGCTTAAAAGTCGAGTACGAATACGATTTTCATATTGTAGCTAGAATGAATTAGAGTTCGTAGTTTATTTTTGTTTTTGTATTGCGCTGTGTCAAAGTTGAGTCAAAAAAGTCTTAGATTTTCAATGTGCAGCAAATTCCGTAACCAGATTTAGCAATATTCGATTCTAATTCTCGTTCGTGTTAGTAATTGACACTAAAGCAACATACCACATCTAGTGATTATTGTCTTGCAGAACGACGACGATGTAGATGGAAATTAACTGTCTAACAAGGCGATCCAACGACAGAAGCAAATAATAGCACATCGATATTACATTTTCAGATCTCTATATACGCCAAAAATATCTTTCCCTTTTGCTCTCCTAAGAAGATTTTTTTATCGCGCACAAGGAAGCTTATGCTCGTGTATAAGGTTAACGTCGGACAGGTTCAAGAGAGGAAGGTCAAAGTCTTTTGTTTTTCGAGTAGATTACGACATCTAATGAGTACGAAATATTAACACTTGAGCGTTGTAGCTAAGGAAATATCGAAGAAGAACGAGCAACTGGTAAAATATAACCACAATTCATCAACGCACATGAAAAAAAAGAAACTCCGTTTATCTGTTCAACGCCACTCGTCCGCGTGGTGCTCAGGGACTACTACTCATGAAAATATAAAGATAGAGAAGCATTGGGTAAGAAAAATAGAAGTTGTAGGTGAGAGAGATATGTATAGCTGCTAGTATGAAAGCACAATCTTCAAAATGATCAGTGTCAAAATAATGTCAAACAAAAATGAACAGACAACGCAGGAGGATACCGCCACTTATGGTATGGAGGTAGTGCTACCAAGTAGTATTTTTCTGATCAATGGAGGCGCCGAACGGTCTTCTAGTTGTACTACGTGCCATACTATCAACATACAGACAAGCTGAAGCTGAAGCGCCGGTCTTTAACTTTATTGAGCACAAAATATATTTTTCATAGCAAATCCATCGTGCAGTCATCTCGTTTTACGAGCTTCTAACATGAAAGCAAATGATTTTCCAAGAACAATTCACGATATATATTGTAGGCATGGTGGTCTGATTCTTGTACAGATTCTTCACAGCTAATTCATATCCTCGAATGTACACACTTTTTGTTGGACTGTAGAAGCGAGGATGCGGCAAGAGAGGGAACCGGAGAACCATCAGAACAGAGAGTGAACGAGGAGAGATGAGATCAAAAGGTGAAGCATCCTACAAGTTGTGACGTTGATACTTTTTTTTCGAAATTGATTTCTGCTCGTGTGTACCTATGGCAGGAATCAATCATGTCTCTTCATGAACCAAATGTAAATGTTCATGTCTATTCATCTTGATGTTTTTATGCAAAAAGTTTCAGCACATCGTGCATCCAATCGTCAAACAATTATGCGTTTCATGTTTTTTGCTTGCTTGCCTATGCCAAGGGATTACTGAGGAGCAACAGAGTCCTTAATTGTACTAGGAACTCGAGAAGTTGAGATTGACAGAGCGCGTGGAAGGAGGAACGGACAGAACAAGACAAGGTGGAGGTATTTCTGTTTCGACTACGACTTGCGACAGGGACAACTTGTAAATATAACTGACATTGCGTACTTCAACTTCAATCACAACTTTCGGTTCTACAGAAACAGGCCCGTTTCACAATTACACCAAAAAAAAGTTAGGTCCTCTCCAGATACTGTCGCATCTCGCGTTGACGTTTCATTTCAGCTTCGTCTGTCTTTGTTCATGGGAGAAACAATGGAAAACGAGAATTGCAAAATGAACGAGGAGTGGAGGCATGGGGGGTACTGACTTCTTCGCTCGAGGAATTAGATATTTTTTGAATGATTTGAAAGACGAAAAGTAAGAATGATGATCACTGATATGTACTTAAGTACGCAGTTCAAGACATTAACTTCTGTCTCCTGCACAAGTACCCTCTCCTCTACGACTATCCTGCGAAGTTCTCCAACGCTTCTCGCTGCCACGGATGACGCTTTAGATGGGGAGAAAACCAGCTGCAGTTGCAGTGTTGTTCTGGCCGAAATGACCACCCACGAAGTAGAAGAGACGTCGTTTTTGCTTACTGGACTGAAGCAGGACCTCCAAGATACACCGGATCTCAACAAGACGGATAAAGTTGTAAACCATGGAGTTCGATTTATGTTGACAGGGAAAACGTGTACTACTGATCTCCACCCTCGAGAAGGTAGGCACGTTCAACATGATCGAAGTAGGAAACTAGCTGCCGCTTATTTTCTCGAGTGAGAAGTATGTGTAGTTGTAGTACTAGTATTCCTTTCATGAAATTTATAGAAAACATCGAAATTGATAGTTTGGTTCTCCAGGAAGTTGCAACTCTCGAGGACAACTTTAGCACCAGGAGCGAGGACCTGCTTGTGCTTGAAGACAATTTTAGCACGTGCAGTACGGATCTTGTGTGTAGTGGTAGCGCGGCTCCGATTCGAGAAATGCCAGTGGTGGCAAGTAGCTGCAGCTACAACCAGGAAGTTGTGGAAGTGTTGCAAGGCGTAGATGTGGGTGAGCAGGTCTTGGAAGGAGCTAGAGACGAAACTGCAACGAAACAGAGGGAAGACGGAAGAAGAGAGAGAATTGGTGGAAATCGGAATCCAGAAGGGCGCGTGGTCAAGATGAATGATGCGGCAGGTACTATTTATTATAGAAGAGGTGCTTTTCATCTTAGGACGTCGCACTTGATTCAAGTTTTTGAAGCTATAATTTACAGCATTATTTTGCTCAAAAGAGTTTCATTTTTGATGTTACAACATCTTCATCTTGATCTTCGTCTGGCACCTCAAACACAGAAAAGAGCGCGACAACCACCGCTTGCTCCACGCGCTACGCAGCGACTGCGACAACGCTTTCTGCCAGCTTGGTAGATGAAGAGGATCAGGACGATGAAGTCAGTGCGTGCTTTGATGTTGAGATCCCTGGAGGAACTGAATCACAACTACAAGAGGAGGTAAATGTCGTCGAGGGCGAGCCTAGTTGTACGTTGGATTGTCATTGTCATGATTCGCATGATACGAGCAGATGCGAACAAGGCGATCAAGATAAAAGCGGAGGCACTACTAGCACCACTAGTAGTTGTTTCATCAATCCGGGATCTACAAGAACGACCACCGGCGGCGAAGTCGCATTTCAGAATATTCTTCAACCAGACGTTGAGTCTCTTCAGCAACAACTGCAGTTGCGAAAGAACAAAGACGAATACCAAAAATGCTGTGCTCGTGGCTATCGACCCACACCGGAGCTGCATGGAGAAACACCAACGCTGGCCTCGCCTGAGATGCTGCAGCGTTTAGCGTCGGCTTCTTCGAGTCCTATTTCACCGGCGATGGCTGTTGCGACTCCAGACGTGCAGAAAGAGGGGCAGGAAAAGTCGAATGCGCAGGAGGCGTCTGGGAACTGTGAAGTAGTAAAGCTAATTCCAGCTCGTCCTGAAATTGACGCAGGGTCAGGAGACACGAACCTAAGGCTTGCACCGGTGCAGAATGGTGACGGAGTAGACAACCCTTTCACAGATGAAAACGAAATCTTCGATGATGTTAGCGTGACAGAACCTTCGAGTCGTGTGACAGGGCCAGGGGGTTTACTCTGTGACGTCGAGCCCAACGTATTTGTGGCATCTTTTAAGGCTACAAGAAATCCATCTTCACAGTCATCCTGGTCCGGTCCCTTTTTTAAAGAGAAAAGGAGACCCAAGATGTTGCTGACGCAGGATTTCTCTTAGTAGTTCTAAATCTTCTTCTGAGGGAGCTGCATGTGGTGCGCGCTACATATCATCTTCTGCTACTGAGACGGATTGCTCTTTTGCAGCAATTTCTCCTTGTGCTAACGAAGTAAGGGGGGCCGTTGCTCGTGACGTAGCGCTACTTGGCGTAGATTTGCAACTCTCGGAAACATGTGCGGCGGCTTCGCCAGTGGCGTCGCCCTCTACATCTCTGGTTTTGTCACCGGTCTTACTCGCAAAGGATGATCACTTCTATGTTGGGGGAGGAGGTGGCGACAATGCGGTAGGAGAGGCTTTGGTAGGAGATGAAGCAGAGGCTGTTGTAAAGGACGTAGAGGATCATGCACAAGTGGAGATCAATAGTGGTTGTAATAAGCAGGCGACAGCAAGCAGTGAGAAAGAGCATCACGACAGCGAGGAGGATCATTTAGTAGAGAAGTCACCTGTGCTAGCAACTGAAGGAGGGAGTCCGATTCTAAGCGGCAGTCTGAATCTGATCGGAGAGCAAGCTGGCAGGAAAAGTAGTAATCAGCATCGATACGTTGTTGAAAGCACTAGAATTGAATTAGGTGAGGACCATGAGGATGTAATTCTTGAAGCCACGACTCCCACAAATGACGCGATCCTCCCCGACAAGCGGCTTCTTGAGTCAACAGAGCAGGTGGTGATGGAGACGCCGACGAACATCATGCTAGATGAACATGAAGGGATGCTAGATGAACCTGAAGACGTTCTTCCTGGGCAACAATCTCCTCAGCCTGGTCCAGTTGTGGCCAAGAATATGCAGCATAGAGTTAGAGGTTCACACCAGGAGCTTCTGCGGGGTGGTGTAGTTGTAAAAGATGAACAGAATGACGATGACGCTCAAAATGAGGGAAACACTCCGTCATCCGAAGCATGCTCGGACAGGCACGGCAACATCGCAACGCTGCATCGTGGAAAACCCAGATCCTTTCGAAATAGTGAAACGAGTAGCACAAGCAGCAGTAGTTCGGAAGAGGGGCGCGGGAAATCTGCGATCTTCACCGCTGGCATTGGTTGCATGTTTCGCGGGTCGTCAAGTTTACCGGTCTCTAATATTGGTACAAATGCTGCAACGCACGATAACGACCACGACCAAATCGTGTCTCCGAGTCCGACAGGAGCTCGAGCAGACTTGAGAGCCTCCAAGGAGCAGAGGGACACCGGTCCGTTGACTACGAGTACGATGAACACACGAAGTAGTACCACGAATAATATGCTACGAGTACGACAAAGTAGTTGTGCCAACTCCACTATGCTACGGCAGAGCATCGCGCGACAAAGTCTTTCGACCGAAAATGTAAGCCGCTTGACGAACATGGCGCATGAAAGCTTCGATTGTGGATTGTCTGAAAGCCTCGAGATGCCGCCTGCTGGAACGTTAGCTGACATCAATCTGCTGCGCGAAAGTCTGGACAACATCATAATTCTCAATGGAAACATTGAGGGCGAAGAGGGGAAAAAAGATGAAAATGCAAGGAAGGATTCGGACGAGTTAACAAGTGTTGAACCCGGCGTCACGTTACAGCGTGAGGGTACAAGTACAACTAGTAACCGGACGATTCGGCCAGTGTTATCTGCGCAGAATCTACAGGCGAGGAGTAAAAATATGCGACATCCACTTCGGGCTAGCATGCCCTGCGGACGAGACGGGCGGGCGAGCCGATATGGGGTTCCGTTTGCTTCGCCAACTCCGATTTTCGAAGACATCAACGAAGAGCAGGATGCAGCTAACGTAGGAGAGAACGCTAAAGGTGAAGATCATGACGATGGCATGTCTGCATCACCAACGAGGCCTCGTGAGTCCCGACTCCAAAACATGCGCCGTGGAGGTGCTACTGGTGGAAGACAACTCCTTACAACTGGCACTGGTCCTGGGACGCACGAAGCCGCAATTCTGAGCGCTCCAGGCGAGCATTTGCCAACATTTTTAGGCGGCTGTGGCGGAGAATTCGGCTCTCGCCTTTTTGGCGGAAAAGTAGCAGGGGCTGGTGTGAGCAAGAGCCTGTTTTTGCCGATGACGTCCAAATCAATGTCCTACTCGATGATACATCGGAGTGACCGCTATCGCAGTTTCATGGAGACTCTAGAGGAAGCATCGCATGAGAGCGAGTCGAACTCTGACGAGCGTAACTTTCCACCAACAACAACGCCTAGTGACCACGCACCGCTGTCACCGCTGGCCGAGACCACACCGAGCGAGCATGCATGTTTGTCGCCACTAGTGGAGCAGACTAATGTAGCTGCTGGGTTGTCGGGTGTGGAAACCACGTGCGCGCCGTTGACGGGGGACAGTGATGAATGCGGCACAGCATTAATTTTGGGGGATATCAACATAGCAGGTTCAGGAGGAAAGACCAGGTCGAGCGAAAAGCGAGCATCTACGAAGCGTACACCCTCAATCAACTCACTGGGGAGGATCTCGCGAACGACAACACAGCGTTCTAGTACAACTGTCGTGCAAAACCGCTATTCGCAACGAAGCTCGGCGCGGCACAGCCATGTTTTTCCCAGTGTAACTATGTCCGATGTTGGTTTTGCTGGTCATGCAGCAGACGAGGGCGATCACGCGCTTGATGCTGATGTAATCGCACCACTCTTAATGGATGATGAACAACATTCGGGTCCTCGTACAAGTAAAAATGTGCAAGTGGATGAGGACGATGCTCCGCTGTCGACAACGTGGCTGCGTACTCCTGGGAAGACCGTTGTAGGGTATGATCAACATGGTCGTTCTAGTCCGTTCTTTGGCGGCGCTGCTACAGAGCTATCGGAGGAGACTGGTGCCACGTTAGCTCCCCTGGAGGATCAAGTAAACACGAACATCGAGATTGATGTTACCTCGTCTGAACAAATCGGTCCTGAGCAAAACGCGAACCGCTCTCGCTCTTCTGTTCGCAGCAGTCGAGACAGTGGAGGCGCCCGTACCTCTTCAAGCACAGGCAGCCATCTCGCAGGACTTGGCATCGGGAGTGTTTTGTCGTTCGGTTCATCGGGGTCGAGCACACCCGCAGTGGACGGCGGCACGCCAGCGCAAACTACGACAACGTGCGCTGCAGCTGCAATGCTCGACGCAATGAGGGATCAGGGCGAGGCAGTTGACTCGTACTCCCTGCGAATGAAGATCAAAAACAGCACCGTAAGTGTAGGACGCTACAGCCAACAAAATCTTGCAAAAGCGGAGCTTCATGCGCCGATCGAAGGTGTGGGAGGTGATCAACATGTGGCTGATGCCGCTGTAGCCGGACACTTTATTGACACCTGTGCTCCTTCATCTTTGCTCCGTCAGTCATGCATGATGCCTTCAGATGCGCACGATAGCTGCTTACGATGGTCCTCGCAAGACCTTCTTCGACTATCTGAAGCTTCCGCACAGCAGAACGTCGAGCAACGCGACAGTGCCTGTGACTACAATTCTGGAGTCGCAGACCACGACGCAAGAATATTGAGTCTGTCTCCTTCGCGGCCTTCGTTTGGTACCCTGAAGAACGTGATCGTGAAGAATCCTGAGGGTGGAGGTCCAGAGACTTTACTCTGCCGGTCATCCTGTTCGAGGATGAGTTGTCTTGATCGAGCTCAAGCGGCTATTGATCGTGACAGCACAGGCGAAGACTCAGTGGATACACGAAGTAGCTTGCAAAGCGGTGACGTGGCAAGGATCATGGAGGACGCAGATGATGTCGAGGATGGGGCAGAAGAAGATGTCATCACGGCAGAAGGTGACTCATGTGGCAAGGATCATGGGGCAGAAGAAGATGTCATCACGGCAGAAGAAGATGTCATCACGGCAGAAGAAGATGTCATCACGGCACCCGCAGGAGGTGACTCATCTTAGGGCTACCGCTGGACCATCCTCAAGCTCAACATCATCCTTGGCCCCTTTTTCAAGGAGAAAAAGGGACCAGGGAGGTTCTCGGGGATGCGAGCGCGGTAGCTCTAATCATCACCCACGACACCCGCTTTTCCAAAGTGCCAGATCAACATTATTCCCCCGTCCACTCCACCTCTTGACAAAGAGAAGGAGGGTCGTCGAAAATCTACTGCGGATAGAAGCGAGGAGGAGCTGAAACCGGCGGGAGCGGCGCGGCTCGACGAAACTGCCGACGAAGGCAAGAACGATGCGGCAACACTGCTGAAGGACCAAGAAGTAGACGAGCAAGGATTCAAAAACTTGGATGAGGTTCAGTTCGTCGTCGTAGAGCAGCCTTCGAGTGGCGACGAACAGGAGGATTGCAGGTCACAAATCGCCTTGCTAGAAAGAGCAATTCCTGATCTGGTACCAGTAGTACCACTACCAGAGGAGGAAGAAAAAAAAAATGTGGACATGAAGGCAGACGACGAGGTCGACGAAATTTGGGGTCGTCCTTTACCTCCAGTGTCTCAACACAATGAGCACGCAGATGGAGCTCCACTCCTGCTTACGCCAGAGGCACGCCCTCGGAGAGGACTGTCATCGTCCAAAAAAGAGCACAATAGTACACAACGACCGCTAGTAGCAGGAGTGCAGCACAGAAGTCACACTCAGTTCATTTCAAGAAGAACAGGAATTCCAGCGATCGGGCATGGTGGATCCACATTTGGCTTGCGAAACAATCCGAAGGACCTTCAAGTTGTTCAGCAACAATCCGAAGGACCTTCGATCAGGAAAATGAATCATGATCTCTTTCCATCATCTCTTTCTGGCAGGAATCATTGTTCACATCTTCTCCAACTGCCGTCTACTGTAATATCGCCGTGTGTTTCGCCCAAGCAAGTGGCGCGCTTTCTCGCATTCTCCAGCACTGTGCTCTCAAATCCAGAAGCAAGTGAACTACAAGAATCGGGTGAAGATGAACGTCACAAAGAAGATGAACAAGAATCGGGTTCGGGTGGAGATGAACGTCATCAAGGCGAACACAAACAGTCTGGTCGTGACGAGGTGGAAAGGGATGGACATGGAAGCAGAGTGGAAGACAAAGGTCGTTTGTTGCGTGGTAGAAACAAAGACGGAAACAAGCCGAAGGAGCCTGAATTGCCAATTAAGAGTCTAGACTTTGCAACTTTTTCATCTTCGGTCCTCCCCACGTCGACACCTTCCATTTTCCGGTTGTCTTCTCTGATAGATAAGAATATGTTGGTACTAGAAGACTAAGATGCAGTGTATGTGTAGTTGTGACCACTTCTAAGTCAAATATGCCAGTGAGACGCACGCAGTCGGCAGCTGCACTGGGAGATAGGCAGAGGACAGCTATGCTTACGCGAGCTGCTACAGCGGTGCCTTGCGGTAGTGCGTGCTCTCTTGCCAGTGTCGCTGATACCGCTCGGCCGGCGCTACATACTGATGCGCGACGCGGCGACATGCTAATGCGTGACCAGGTTTGTCCGCGATCCACGCCAAGGTCTAATACGCCAACAGGTACAGGAGGACGAGCAGATGAGTACAACGACGACAGATTCTTACTTTACTCTACAACATCAGAGCCTGCTTTTCCAAGCGGATTTTCTGCGAAACTTGATATGAATCATGACAACGAAAACGTTGCTGATGATGGCGCGAACAACGACGACGAGTCTCCTACAACAGGAGCTGCCCTTCAAAAACTCACTCAACGTGAGAATATGGATTTTTTCTGCCCTCGTCGGCTGGCAACCAGTGACCAAACAAGCATTCGTGGTCTGAAAAACCATCGAGGAGGGGGCCAAAAAATTAAAGATATTGCACGGGGGCAGATGCGAAGCCATAACCTGATGTACAGCAGTTGCCATTATGATAGAGACCGACAACTCTGCATTCGCAATGAGACCTTCGGTGCGAACGATTTCGACGAAACTCCGTGCTACTCGGCCAGGTGCATGACGCAGTTTGTGAGCAACGGCGAGCTCGTCAATTTTTTGAGTATTAAGGCGTTGGGTGTGTTGAGGAACAGCAACAGACAGTGGTTACCAGTTTGTGTGAATACTTACACTTAGACGTTATGGTGTTGAGCAAAAGGTCGTGCATGTTAGCGACGGACCTGCTTAGATGTCTGCAGTCTGCTCAGCGCCGAACAGTATAAATATATAACGGCACTATTTAATAGAATTAGCCTCTCTAAGGGTCACGCAGCTGACGGTGGGGTAGACCACGAAAGCTTCTTCCGGAAGCAGAGTTACTCACGCCTCGTTCGCGAAGACATCGACCACGTTTGCATTCCGTCAAAAGTTACGGGCCTGCCTTATTAATCTATTTTTTATCTCTGTACATCTACAATACCCCCGAGGTTGAAAAACACAGATTGACATAAATTGTTACAATAACTGCACTACTTCTACTATGGAGATAGATCTGGATTGAACATCATGCGCATTCTAAAGAAAGCCCGCTTCCGCTATCGTTTCTCGAGATGCAGCTTTTCGAGACTCAGAGACCCCGTGTGTACGTTGACACACTCGAAGTTGTTGACGAGGACGGGCAGATTGTTCAGGCTGACGAGAATGAGTCTGGTGAAGAAAAGAAGAGGGGCCAACAGCATGAGTCTGGCGAACCATCGACATCGTGTGTCGAGGTGGAAGTGAACGAAGGGCTACACAAAGATGAAGCGGGCCGACAACATTTGTTACCATCACATTGGCTCGAGGGCAATGTCTCAAGCTCGTTCGTAGCGGCCGGTAGCGACGGCGCTATTACTATCGTTGAGGGCGACGGAATCGGGCTCATTGTCGATCTTGCACCAGGTCCACGCGAGCGTCGCATTATCAAGAAAACATCTTCAACTGGTAAGAAGACGGATTCTACTTCTACTTCATCCCTTACAAACTCGGCGGATGTCAACAAGAATGATGATGCTGTGTTTGGAGGACGAGTAACATCACCTTCGGAGAATACCGCCGAGCAAATAACAAGAACGTCACTACTGGGTGGGAAACCTCCCGTTGAGGATCAGAACACCCTCAGCGTGCTTAGAACCAGTAGGAGCGGTGATGCCAGTATTATCAGACAAAGCAGAGCGGAACTGGATGAAGATCTGCGCCAGAGCTGTGCGGCTCCTCTACGAGTACGACTCCGCGAAGATATCAAGGTGGGAAATATCGAAAGCCATCCGGTAGAGGACGCAAAGCCAGTGATGACGCTGACTGAAAAGAGCAATCAGGAACTGCAACAGCGTCGCGTTGTCAGAAGCCGGCGCCCTTCTGCAGCAGAAGTGTCAAGGAAGGCATTGGGTTGCACAAAAGCTTCAAGCGTCACAGTGGCTCCTACGGTCTCTGCTGGGATTATTCATGAGCAGGAGCAAGGAGTAACGAAAAAAGAAGAGTGTGCGGGTTTGACAGAGGCAGCTGCGACAATTCGACAGGAAGAAGAAGAGCGGGGCATTCCACTTGGTACGACAACATCAGAGGGCACCAGTGAATCAGATTCTGCTCCGCATCAGGAAGGCGATGACATTACTCACCACGAGCAGGTGGTCGAGGTCGAGCACTCAACACTTTCACCATCTTCATCAAGTTGTACCCCTGTACTTGATTCCAAAACTTCATCGACTACAAGTAGTGGGACTGCTATCAAAACATCAAGTGGCACAGCGACGAGAAGTCCGAGCCCGAACACAGCGAGCGAGGTCAAAACTTTGTCTTCACCTGATTTCTCAACCACCTCGTCCTCGGCATGTAGTTCTCCAGTACTGCCTTCACCGACTCCGGTTGGAGATTGCGTAATGCCTAGCCCAAGCTGTGAATTGGACGACCAGGATCAGCACGTTCAGAGCAAAGCAACTGCCTTGCGGGAGAAGCCGCAAACATTTTCAACTGAAGAGGCTCTGGGCACTTTCCGAGAGGAAGAAGGAATATTACTACAACCACCCATCTCAATTGACCAGCGTCAACATGGTGAACATTCTGATCACCGATCAACGACATCACAAGGAAAGCACTTTCCTACCAGTTCTACCAACGGATCATCTACTTCCGGTGGTAGAACTGGTAGAAAAGCGAAGCGTTGCGCCTTCCAGCTCTCCATGTCGGGACAGCTGAGTTTGGGTACAGAGGATTCCGGCCTTGCAGCTCATGCGGCGGCGGTTGCAGGTCTTGTTGATTTGCTGCAGGTAGAAGGTGGAGAACAAGAAAAACAAGCGGAAAGGGCGGCTGAAGCAGCTGACATACATCACGGGCAGTCACCTCGTGATCAGGCAGCGCATGAACTGACACACCACACTGAAAAAACACTCGAGCCTTGTGTTCCAAGTCGCGAAAATCAGGTTGGAGGCATCGCTGACGAAGAGATACAGAAGGAAGCCGCTCACAAGGAAACCGAGGAGGTTGGCAGCGTTAGGAAAGATGATAGTGGAACTGATAATATTTGCCGAACTCTTTCTCCTCATTCTAGTACCACGCCAGATTTGAAGAAGCCCCGACATTCTATTTCGGAGTCCCTGCGCTCGTCCGCCACTTTGGATAAATCAGACGATGATGTTGTCCGAGTGAATAACGACCTGCTTGATGAGACCGCTTTTGGGGAGGACGCAAAGAACGGCGTTGCAGAACAGGCTCATTGTGCCATTGTTATGGTCACAGTTTTGCGTCATGATCAAACTCGAATACCTTAATATGTGAATTTGTTATCTACTACTTCTACTTTCCTCTTTCTGTGCGGCTGCGGCTTCTAATTTGGGCGTAGTACTTCCGCCGTTCGATTTTCCGTCAACTTCGATTGCATGTTCCAACGAGCTTCCAGCCGAAATAAGGAGCTCGCTTTGCCTGGGGCCTGTGAATGACGGTCATGCGAAATTACATGCCGAAAAGCAAGGACAGAAAAGAGTAGGGGCAACACCGGTGCCGCAAGATCACGAAAGCAGTCACATCTCAAGGGGTGGAAAAGATGACGACGATTCTTCGATTCGCTTATCGCGCAGCATCGTTGTCGGCGAGGCGACAGCTAACGGGTCGAAAAGTAGTGAGATTGGCAGTGAGGCTTGTGCTGGACTAGCAAGGAAAGACCAGGAGTCAAAGCTCTTCACTCAGCAGCAGCAGCTGGATTCGGTATTCTACATGTCGGTTTCTGATGAATGTGTATGATATCAAAATCTCATCACATACAACACGTCTCATGCGGTTCTATCTTTGAATGTTCAGCAGCCTCTCCGAGGACGCCGACGCTTCAGATTATTATATCAACGTGACTACACAGTGAACAAATACAGGTAGTATCTCGGCCTGAAGCAAAGGCACTGGAGGTCGCTAGAAGTGAGAAAGTGATTGGGAGCATGGAAGAAACAGTGGCGGTGGTGGGTTCGTCAGCTTTTCATGGACAGGGCCCACCTGTTGTGGACATACACCAGAGTCATTCGCTTAATGCGTCAAGCGTCAGATCATCACAGAAGCAGACCTTCCCAGATGGGCAGCAAGAAAATGTGCAGGAAGACGCGCCACGTGTAGCGAAGAGCGTAGCTGCTAGAAAAGGCTGTCAACACCTTCAACATCTGGGGAAGACAGCTGTTGGTTTAAGTAGAGCACAAAACAAACATGCGACGTCATCGACTTCACTACTCGACTCGGTAGATTACTCTCCCACTCCGCGGTCTGGGCGAGTAGCCCCCGCGCTAGTACTTCCACCGAGTAACGTTGCAGGAACGCCGCCGCGCCTAGGCGACGGAAATGACTTGCTCATGCGGGAACAGGCACTAGAAGAAGATCGAAGGCGAATGGAGGCCTATTGCAGGAAAAATAGCTACAGATTAGGTAGAAGTGAGATCGCGGACTATTTTGAGGACCGATACGCTGCTCTCCATCGTCGAGATTTGTCCTTTGATGACCGGCGACGGGCCGCTTTGTATGATCGACACCACTACAACATAGAGGAGCTGCATGAAGTTGAAGCCCATCATGACGCTAGAAGGAGGCAGTACTTGTATGAGCAACAACAACATTACAGAAGACCAGAGCTCGAGGGATTTGCGTCAGCGTCTATGCAGCATGAGCGATGTCATCTAGTACCCTTATCTCCCCGGAGCAGGGCACAAATACACCATCACCAACATTTCTCAGGACTACAACACCCTAGTCGAAGCGAAGCCTTTCATCCCGGCTTCCTCTATCCATCAACGAGAGGCGCAGTACTTTGTAGTTGTAATCATCCGCGTTGCATCCGATGTTTACAACAACGCGAGGATGACGAATACCATTTCCACTTGCAACAGCTTGCTAGACGTAGGGCAGTTGAGGGTAGAGGACCCTATGGTACTGAACAGTTTGGCAGAGGCATAGACCGAGACGAGAGGAGAATACTCCAGCAACGACGTCACGAAGGTGCCACAATAGGAAGACACCCCTCGTCTTCTGCATCGATGAGTTACTGCGCCCCCTCTTCCAGCCGAGGGATGTGCGCACGCTCACTATCGCCGACTGTTGACTCGGAGCTAAACTATCTCCTCCAATCTCATCGACGCGGCGGTGACTTCTGTCGCGAGAATCAAGACGGGCTAGTCTACAACAGTACACGCCAGCGAGGACACTTAGCCCAGCGAGATCCATTCTACGCCCATGCAGGCTTCGCCGAGGATCGAATGTCAATGCGAAACCACGAAGGTCTAGTTCCCATACGCGGTTCTGCGCAGTATTTGGACGTGCCCCCGCGCCTTGCTGAGCAGGAGCAGGCTTCTACAAGTCCAAATAGCTGTAGAAATGAGCATGAACCTACTTCTGAAGGTTCGAGCGCATCGAGCAGGGGGGTACGTGGAACGAGTAATTGTAGCACTATGTTGACAAAAACTGGCACTGGGGAGGATCTGCATCTGCACGATAATGCGTCTAGTGCTCCCTCGTGCGCAAAAGGGACATCTTCAGAGTAGTGCGGCCAACCGAAACTCGGAGGGTTGGGTTTCGGTTCAGTCTCTTAAACGCGGCATCATGCTCTGCCTGCGTTGACACAGGAGCAGCAACAGTACCCGGTAAAAGATGGGCCTGTGATGTCAATGCCCGTTTCGTGTTAGTTTTTCTGTCCTCCCACTTTCCACCACTATTCCTCAGGCAAGGCATGAAGTAAAGTGAAAACAAGAATTATGATCAATTATTTCTTTTGCAGCACAGCGACAGCTAGAAGATGTAGCTTGATGATGGTGCGTGTTACCAAATTTCAAATTTTTCCAACTATTACTACCAGAACCAGCTACTACAGATTCTTACAACGAATGCAGAGAAGGATGGTCATGGTGATAAATTCCATCTTTTCCCTGTTATAGGTACAAAGACAACTGCTCAACCCCAACAGCACTCCTTTTTGTTTCCTCAATGACAATACTGAAGTCGTTTTTTTGAAATCATATTTCAATGTAGCAAGTATTGGGATCTGCGTAGCGGCCAACTCGACGGAGTCGCTACACCACACTTATGCACAGCACACCTTCCTTATTACAATGTTTCGTTTGCCTTCAATATGATCTAGATCTTTATTTGTCAATCTAAAAAGTAGTGAATCGTCTTGTACGCTAGCAAATACCAATACAAAATACTTCGTTTCGTTATGAACAGAAACCACAGCATCGATGCTTAGTCGGTGCTTGTTGTATATTCACTTGTATATTGATTCTTGAACAAGAACTTGATGAACCTACGTACGGTGGGAACGGTATCACGGTTCACATGTACAGTAAAAATTTGACGGCTGCTAGTCAACAGAGCAAATGAGTCAAGAAAGTATTGGTAGTTCCAGAGCTTTGTTTCTTCGAAATTAAGGTAAAGGTTAGTTTTCGTTTTTTTTTGTTTCCAAGTTTTCCATCTAAACCAACAAAGGCAAGACACTAGACATCCTACAAAAATTTTGGATGATGACTACTTATAGATACGTTCGTCTAAAAATCGTTTCCAGAACATGATAGACTAAATGTCGTCTGGTGCTCCATCCTGTTCCTGCCACTCTTTTCAGCTTATTTTTATTATTTACAGACTTATCTCCCCTCATTACATTCCTATGATGTATCCCCATGTTGTTCCTTGCTTCTTGATGCTATGTTTTGAAATGACTTCTATGCATGAATCTGTTTATTCACTATTGCTCTGTTCATCTTTGAACAAGATTTGTTGATCATCGTAACCACACGTGACAGAATTAAAAATATCGACCGGGGGTACCACATCCACCCTAACGGTTGGGAGGTACCCTCGTACACAAACGCGCGGAGAGAGGAGATTTTACGAATTTCAACCAAGTCTATCTACTGATATGCAAATACAAATCTCTAAAGTTATTATTGTTTTTTTTTCAACTTCAAGTTTGAAATTAATTTTGTATTTCTCGATCGAATGTCAATGTGAATGTTCACCCTTGCTTAATTAGTTTCCTTCGTTGTTTCGTTTGTTGTATTTTCAAAGCAGGAGAAGTAGCAGCTCTTCCGCTTCCCCACCTTCACATTAACACTGTCCCATGTAAAGGTTAGGGTCTAGCATCTATCTATGAAATTAAATCTAGATGTAACCAAATTGAAATTGAAACTTAGAAGTCTGCTCGAGGACGTCATTTTGTTGTTGGAAATTGGCATGCCGCGTGGATCCTCTGGTGCGCAGCGTATTAACATCCTTCCGCGTTCGTGTGCCGAAACCGATCCACTGGGCTCTCGTAGTACGCCTAGTAAGTAAATTAGCTATCACCAGCTCCCACAACACTTCACCTCGTAACTGGTAATTCTTTGATCTCTTGTAGCCTCTCAATATGAGAAAATTTGTTCAAATAGCTTCCTTGAAGAACAAGATGTAAGTAGTTATAAATATATTGTGTATTCTAATTCTTCTTATGCATTCCATCCTAATTTTCTAACTTGATGAATGACAATCAAGTACTTACAGCTGCGATATTGTTACCTGTACGAAAAGATCTGTCTCTCTTTTTGCATTGCATGCTAATAATTTCCCATTTATTTTCAAAACCGACACCTCCTTCGCCCCAAGACATGTTCTTGGTCAACCCCACAGGATCGATTAATCGCCGAGAACCAAGGGCGCACGAAGTCGAAGATTATATATTTATAATATAAGTATTGCGCAAGCACCAAAAGGGATAGCAGTCCCGTTCACACGGAAAGACACACAGTAGCTGCACTGTTTCCGGCTGGTTATCTGAGAGAAACAGTGTACTAGAGTGAGTATGGTAAAGCCAATCAGTAAGTAGAATCTGAGTGACTTAGCGTCACCATGTGAGCTAAATATATGATCATACATTATTGCGTCGATGTATTGCGGCCGAGACAGAGAGAGAGAGAGAGCAGAACTGGGGAATGAAATGTACGGTTTGTTGAGAGTTGGATGGTGGAGACGAGAGAAAAAGCAGGCGATCATAAGGCAGATTTATTAAACTACGAATTCGATTCACATTCACTAACTATACGAACAATTTTCCGCAACCGCATTTGATCTTGATTTTTCTCGCTGCACCTTGAATTCATTGTAGCTGTTCTTTGATGCTGTTGGATGTATTATCATTACTATTGTTCATCAGTTACTGTTCTACTTGTAGACCTTATTCATCGTTGGTTGTTGTTGTCTTTGTCTTGTCCACGGGTATATACCAAAATTTGCAAAAACATAAAAGCGCCAGGTTCTTCTGCTCGAACGAATAAAGAAACGTGCCAAAGCATTCGATTCACAGGTTATACGTGCATCGCCTGCAAGCGGTCTTAGTGTAGTTTGCCTCCAAAAATCAATTCGCGACGCCGAAATCAATAGCGGATACGTACGACACTGCAATCAACACCGCGGGGAGTTGTAGCTGGTGTCAATACTGCGTCCAGCTGTAGCAGAACTACAAAACGAAAACAACTCTAGAAGCCACCTCCAACCACGACAAGGTCACCTACAACTTCTTTCTCTCGCCCTGGAGGTTCTCACCATTTTTCTTCATACCTTGCTTGTAGAGCCCTTCGCAACTCACAGGATTCTTATCGGATTAGTTCTTAAACAAGAAGCATTACGTAGGAAGCACCTTCAACTTGTTTTTAACTGCAGAAACCTATTAATTGCTCAATAATTGTCGTTCCTACTAGGGCCTCTTAGCTCATCACCCTAACAACAGCCAAGAGAAGAGTTGTAGTTCTTGGACGCATGCTATAACATCTACATCAGCTCCTGCAAGCTATTCAATAATTGAGCGTTTATAATTGTCAACGTAGGTTGTAAACGTAAAGGTCATATAGGGGAGGCAACTAGCCGTTCCGCGTCCTTGTGGATACGAAGAGGAAGACAACATCAACCGCGGCCGTAATCATGATAATGTGTCAAGCGGTATCTCTAGAGACGGCTAAGGCGTACGTGTAGATTTTCTTTGTTCAATTCTTTTCGTTTTTCTTTTTTCATTTTTCATCACAAGAATCTGTCGTTTGATAATTTGCAAGTTCAGAAGTTTGATTGGAGGTAATTAAGTATTTCAATTTAGGTTCCCCACTTCCGACCGGTCAGTTGTACTAGTAGTGTTTATAATAGTTTTTTCGTTCACCACAGTCTGTGCAAATCCTCGATAATGATCTTGTTTGTAATATTTGTATCACCTACTTAGTATACTTATTCTTATCTTATCCTGCTAGTGCTACATTGTCCTCTACTGGCGATCAAAGTATCAGCCAAGAGGCAGTGTTCCCAAGGACAGTGGTATGTTGCAAAATGAGTTTGAACATGAAAATTGTATAGTCGTTCTTTGGCATTGTGGTGGATTTTTTCAGTAGAAAGATAGATTAACTGACATAAACACTTTTTTATTTCTCCCTGTAATATGGTGTAGTGATATCGTTGGAATGACTTGATGTTGTTGTAATTTGATTTTCTTCCCGTGCTCCTGCAGCTTCTTCTTTTTCTTTCGTTTCAGTCGTTTAGATCAGTTCTTTTCTCGTTATTAAGAGTTTGCAAAAAAACTCGGAGGCATGATCAATCTGGTGATTGTGTTTCCTAGCGTTTGAAGCTGATCAGCAGCTCGTTTGATAGTATGTAGCTAGTGTGACCCCACGACTGCAGCAGCTTTCAAGCAGTGCTGCCGTTTTTTTGCTTCTACGTTTTTAGATTCTTCTTGCATGGGCTTTTTTATTTTCTCATAAGTATTGCAAATGCAATATTCATATTGTACATTCCGAATGGAATCTTGTAGCTAGTGCTTAGTTCTTTGTCTTTTTCTGATGTCTCATTTTCACGGGGCGAATTTCAATTCTTTTTTGGGGAAACGGAGCGTACAAGTAGGATTATATTTGAAACCGAGTTCTTCATCTTCATTCGGTCTATCGATATCTCACCTCTCGCGGGCGGAAGCGTGGGTCTTTCCGAGCGTGTAAGGAGTGAGACAACAAGAATCGTCATATGATGATGAAGCATCTGCACCAGTCGAATGATGGAGGTGCATGGAAGGAGGATGTCCACGACGAAGGATCACATGAGGACGGTGGCGCTGTAGGAATTGACTCAGCCATAAACGAGGCTGAGGATCATGAACATGATTATGGAACAGGGTATCTTTATCTATGAAGAGCACTTAATCAAAATAAAAATCTATGATAGAAGCAGTGATCTATTCAGATACATATGAGTACTTACTTAATCAAATATGATAGAAATTGAAGTGATCTATTTCTATTCAGCAATCTTCGTGGCTATGGCAAGAACTTCAGAACGCTTCTTGGGAATGGCAAGTTCTTCCCAGACCTCTAACGTATTCGAACCCCAGACCGCCCCAGACGCGGATGTACTGTCGACAGTTACAGACGTGGCCACCTGTCAGAATCCGTAACCATCGAGTTCCACCAAGGTGCCACGATGATCCGGACAACCTGTCCTTCCTCATCAAAGTTATGTTTATGATGGACCTTGATATGTTTAGAGCTGTCCGGAATTCATCTTTCAAGTGCATCCTTGAAAAGTGTGGGGGAGTATTCCCTTAGGATACTCCTCCATACGTTTCAAGGATGCGTCCAAAGATTTATTATGTACCGCCTTAATATGTATAGTAATTAAGTTTTTACTGTTAATGTTACAGAACAAATTTATTATTTGAAGCAATAGATACAGCTACATGAGATGAAACATATTTATAATTTGTCTTGTTTTCAGGTGAATAGAGTCCAGAATTGATGAGAGACGCAGTAGATCTGATGAACTGGAAGATTCGTCCTCTCTAAGCAATGAAGGTCGAAGACTGGAGGCGGTCGTGGCGGACTTAGGCGGAAGCAGTCCATCTCGTGGGTTCTTCTCAAAAACTAGACTGAGTTTCAACTCAGAAGATCCCACTCGCAGTGTCTCAACATGCGCACCAGAAAGTCCGGCAACAACACATGGTATCTTCAATCTAGTGAGAGCTTCTAGAGGACTGGAATCTTGAATGAGAAGTAATTGCGTTCAGTTGTACATGAATACCTTCATCCTACTTGTTCGAATTCCTTGATTGAATATGAATAATCGCCCATCTTCTAGTACTTACTACGACAGACAACATCGGCAGGTACGACAATGACGATGGGCAGATGCGGTGGACGGTTTTTTCTTAGTACTGAAAGTATAGCCGAAGAGGGATCCCTCGAGGACTCCGACGAGGAATATGACCCTCCAATACCAGAAAAGGAAAAGCCACGGCGGCTATCGACCATACCAGATGATGAAGTGAAGAGTAAGGCTGATGAGAAAAATATGCAGTCATCGGAGGCCTCTGGTATAATTGTAAGTAAGTCCTCGAAGAATGGAAAAATCAGTATCAAAGAAGTGCACCTTTAGTTTTTTTCTCTGTGGATGAAATCTTTGAGAAGGAGAGAGGTGGGACGGCTACGGCTTTTTTTCGCTCTAATATGAAGTCAACGAAGACGAACAACTTCATGAGATCTTCGGACCCGGTACTCGGAAGCACAAATGTTATGGATAGGATTTTTCAATTGAGAATTCACAAGCTGTTTTACCCTACGGGCTCCATCAACAACATCTTCCATAGTATCTCAAGGATCTACGCTGACAGCAAGTCAGATTGATTAAGAAAGTCTGACCTGCTTACAAAGGCAGGCGCAAAGACGGCATTATCTCTAAAATGATTGCTCGAGCATCTGGTGCTACAGCACCCTGTGGCACGACCGCGAAGCAAGAAGCAACAGCTGACGCGACATCAAGTTCAACAGAAGAGGACGATCTCGATCTGGAACATCACGGGTTTTCACCAGAAATCAGCTGTAGGTTTGCTCGTACTGCAGGCGTGGAGACGGTTCTGTCGAGACCGTCCTGTCTCCATTCTCAGGACGACGAGGAGTTGAGTCTAGACCAGTCGCAGTTTTTTTACGGAAGAGAATTGGTTGCCGCTGTTTTTGGTTGTTGCTGTTTGTTGGTTGTCGCTGTTTGTTGGCAATATTACAGCGGATTTCGTACAACTTCTGGTTTAGATGCATAATTATGAGCCAGGCTCCTTTAGTGCACGGTAGCAGTAGCACTTTTGAATTTGAAGTATGATAGTGGATAGCTCTACGTGTACCCTAGTAAGGTCAAAGGCCTCTAATTTTGCCACTGCTCGACACCGCAAGCGACCGGAGCCTTCACACTGCACAATCAGGACCTTTATGGGAGGAATGTGTATGCGTCTGTAAATAAGGAACTGATCTAGCTACTCTTGCAGCCACTTATTCTTATTTCACTTAAATAGTTTTAGTCTTGTGCGACTACCTGTTACTTTGCCTTGATAGAAGATACAATGCCTTCTTCCACCTTCTTCTTCATTACTCCACGCCGCACGATCATTACACGTCATCCTGCTCGAGGAGTACGATATTTGATGGCACTGCGTTCGACGGATCAAGGATGAGCTCATCGTCCAAATTGTCCTCGTCTTCCCGGAGCAGTCCAAGCACTACAAATAAGGCCTCAACACTAGATCCACCTTTTACTTTTAGCGCACCTGACTGTGAACTTCTGCTTGCAAGTAGAAAAAAAATGGAAACAGTTGTACTAGAAGATGAGGGAACAACATCAACATCAAAGGATGTTGGATTGTAGTGAGTTCTAAAGCAAGCACGACGATAGCCCAAGTTTCTCCAGACCTGATTGTCGAAGACCTCGACGAAGTATCGCCGGTTTCTGCGGCTTCGGCATCGAACAACTACAGAAAAAGCTTTCACCTGCAGGAACATCACGATAAAAACCTTGGAGGAACGAGTGGTGGCAATGGGGGAGGACGCAACGGCGCGACGCAGAGTGCAAGCGAGCTGCTGCTTAGTACTGACTCCTTCTAGTGAACGATCGTTCACCTAGACTAATGTTCTTTTACTCAGAATGAAAGAAATTGATGAAATTCTACAAGAAAATCAACAAAGAAGAGCTTAGTATCGACTTCTTTCAGAGTTGCTTTCACTAACTTTCAGGTAGCAGCATCGAGTTGATTCCGCGAAGGAGTGGAGCAGGCTTGAAAAATACTCGGAATCAAAAGTCTTTCGAACTACCAAGAACCCCGAGCCGCACACCAATCCGGTTGCCAGCAACGTAGTTTGTTTTTTTAATACAAGGAAGGACAAGTTCAGCTTGAGCTTCAGTAATAAATTGCACTTCCACCACCTTTAAAGTACTTAGCCTGTAAGTTTCGTCTCTAGATTTGTTTAGTGGTTGTGGTCCGGTCTCTCGTCCTTACTGTTGGAAGTGCATGTTGAAATATTTATCCCACGACGACCTACGTTCTTTATGCTGCAGGTCATCTAGCGTGGAGGTTCAGTCTGGGCAGCAGATTTTAGCAGTCGAAGAAAAGCGCAAGAGGTTTCGAGCCTGTTCTCTATTTAAGGCTGCCCTTAATCCATCCCCATGGGGATCCCACGACCGTATCCGATTCTTGAGAGATCCCCACAGGGATGAACTAAAGGGATCTCTAATGTATCTTCTCACGCTGTTGCGATTTGTTGCGGACCTTCGAAAGTGACGAGTGCACCGTCTTTGATGAAGACGGCTTGAAGTGCAACAAAAGTAGGTGAAGGTAGTGGTGGGTGAAGGTAGTGGTGGGTGAAGGTAGTGGTAGGTAAGTGGCAGGCTTAACTGCAAGCATGTGAAGCAGGAGGACAAGACATTCGAATCCTCTCATCTGGAACAAGTTTTACTTTTACTAGACGACGGGTGGGAAAATAAAGTTTAAATTGCGTTTCCTCCCTCTACTTCTCTGCTCGTGCTGTGTGTGTAGACTCCATTTGAATTGAAGACTATTGGCGACTGGTAATTTTTAGAGAGCTTATCAGTCCGTGACTACATGACACCAAAATAAATGTTGATCTTGATTCGGATTATATGGTCAGAAATAAGGCCCACTACGTTGTATTATTATTACTTACGGCCTAAGAAAAAGAAGTTATAGTTAGTTTGAACCAAAAATTATCTTCATTCATGCCTAAGGTCATCTTCTTAAAGTATTCGTATTGTTCTTGATGTCCTGATCGAAAAAAAAATATGATTGGCAACCAAGTTATATTATGGAAATTGAGACCTTCTACAATGGGTCTTCACAAAAATATACTTAATATGTCGTGGATGAGGATTGTTCAATTCTTCATCAGTTACTTGTTGTAAGTACAATCCAAACTAGTACTCGATAGAAGATTCCGAACTAACCAAATCACGGTTCAAGAGCAGCTATGAACGGCACCCTTGTTGCTCTTCAACTTCAACGAAGATGTTAATACCACTACGGTGGATGCGTGGGTGAGGTAAACGAAAATGAGAAGGATAAAGAAGCCGGAAATTTAAGAAGTGACAATAATTACTCAACTATCTAAAGCAAAAGCGAAACCATTGTTCGTAACACTAGGAAATAGCAACAAAAAAAATATTTGATGGACTAAGACTAACTCAAATATGATGTTGTATGATGCAAGAAGGTAACATGAGGCAACGAAAATTTCAAGAATAGTATTTAGGAGTACCTTCAGAAGATCATTCACCCAAGAGAAGATGTGGTGGTCGTTTACTGTGAAGTGCGGGACCTATAGATGGATACCACAATCAAAAATATGCACGGAGATGACTGCGTACGTTAGTTTTAAATGGCAAGGTATTTCTATTTATATCCCAATCCGTCCTCTCTTGGGGCGACGTCATATATTACATTATGTTAGGCGGAATTTGAGCATGTTGGAAAGAAAATCAGTCTTTTTTGTAGTTCGTTGTATGGAAACCATCAAAGTCAGGATTGATAATTTATCGGCGCGAAACTACGAGCCAGAAAACAAAAGTGTGGGGGAGCAGGATTACTGGTGAGGCGTAACTCGGCAATGGTTGACGCTGTTGCTGCGTTCCGAAATATCTATACGAAGATGTATCTGGGTGAACCTACTGATAATCAGGGGCAGCGCGCCGCCTGCGCCTGGTATAATCGATCTGATGTTCGATGCCGCGCAGGTGGTCGCCCGCTCGTGGTTTCAAAAAAACAAAAGACCAGAACTAAACTTATACAACTTAGTTGTAGTAATAACTAGAGGAGCAGGGACCACGGGAATAGTAGAGTTTCACAGGAGCTTGGAGTAGAGCTTGAAGGAGCGCTTCTCCAAGCTCCTTGCTTCTCCGCTTGTTACTTCTCCGAAATTTGAAGCAAAAATATATATGTGAAGTTTGTTATCCGGAGTTGTTCTGCATTTGAAGGATGTTGCGTCTAAGTACAAAAACTTGAAGTTCTAGTTCTCTTTTCTATTCACAAGTATGTTGATTTCTTGAGGGCATTGGAGCCTCATCCTCGTTGCAGTTTGTTCTGTTCTTCCCAATTCTCAAGCTAAGAGATAGATTACAACCTCCTAGGCATGTTTAATATGATTTCTTTTTTTTGCTGTGGATGTAGGAGTCAGTACGTAGAAGTACGACCCGGCCTCTATCATGATCTACCAAAAATCTAAATTCGATGAATCCTTTTATGTACTTGCTGTCGATTATGTTTTCTAGGAATTGTACAATAAACTTCCGTTGGAGCAGAAATTCTAAAACAGCTATTTGATGGCCGCTTGATGCATAAAAAATCCTTTTGAAATTCGAGATGTATGATTATGAACTTATAATATTTATAACAAATAATTGTAATAATTCATTGTAATTCATGTTGTCTTGTTCAACGGTCCGTTGTTGTGTGTGAGTCGATTCATGGAAATATACCTCAATTTTCATAGCTCTACAACTTCTACCTCGAATAAAGTCCATCTTGGAAGGACGTGAAGAGGAAGAAAACGAAAATGGCTATGGCTGGGGAGTATAGATATCTAACTGGGGTGGCACATGGAAGAGCAGCTCTCGCTGGGCGTCATGCTCGTCCACCACTGAATCCGTTTCATACAGGGTATTTAGCATCTCTCGTTCCTTGAAATTTGTTATCCAACAAAAAGAAACCATTTTTAATTTTATCTGAGGCCAAATACTACGTATTCCCAGTAATTAAAAAGATTGTCGGGAAAATTGTAGAATCTAAACGCTCCACAAGAACCGACAAAGATCAAGATACGGCGTCCTTCTTCTTGAAACACCAGATTCTTGAGACAACGACATCAAGACGTTCTTCTACTTGTACAACATTGTAGTTCGAATCAACAAGAAGAGTTCGAGGAATCTCTTTTTTAGACGACTTACAATCGAGAGAATGGCGGTACAAGGGACTTCTGGGACTGGGAGGTACAAGGAGCACACTTTGAAGACAACCAGATGCACAGACTTCATGGGAACAACAACAGGAGCATACAGAGAGACAAAAAAACTCACAAATAAGAAAATTGCGATGGTGTTATGCGCCACTCAGTAGGGTCTCAGCTATGGTGTATTCTCTCAGACGTGTAAGCACCAGATCACTGTGTTCTGTACCATAATATCGTGAAATTTTTCGCGCACAAGAATCACGTTCAATTTTTAGCGCATCCTTCAGCGCGACCATAGAGCGTCTTCACACAGCAAGAATCACGTTCAATTCTTAGCGGATCCTTCAGCACCTCCAGAAGCTGGCCGAAAGAGGATCTTTATTTGCTCAAAGCTCAGCAGAAACCAAAATTTTGCACTTGTAGAAGAAGACGCTTTTTTCATCATGATCGCGCTATTTATTCTATGATATAAGTTATTTAAATTTGTATTAAATTTAGGTATGAACTCAAGTTATGTTTTTTCTTTTGATTATATAACAATGCGTTTTTAATAGTACTAGCAGCAGTGTGGCGCACTTCACCGCCTCAGCCTTTCTAAAATTCGAATTTTCGAAAGGCTTCACCTCTTCCCCTCACCGTTAGTCAGCCTCACCCCAAACGCCTAGACCAGTCATCTGTTCTTCTGTTGGAGCAATACGGAAGTTCTGTTCTCGCATGAAAACGTCACCTCTAGAGCCCGCATCGTCGGCAAGAACTTGGTTGTCGTCAGGAGAAAACGGCACAAGTTGCTTGGTTGAAGATGAAAATTCTCCTAAGTAGTGCTCGTTGCCCTCTTCCTTGTCTTCGCCATCATTTTCCGCATCTTCGTCAACATCCCCCTCATCGTCCTCATCTTCATCGGCGACGCCTGCGGGGGCCTTACTGCGGTCATCACGAAGGCCAATTTCCTGATGCCATCTCTCTTCTCCATCTGGAATCTAGAAGTTAGAAAAATGCCTTATACATAGGACAACAATTTTTATTGGAGGCTCAAAAGCCTTTGCAGCTCTGTTGCTTGCTGAAGTCTGTTTAAGTTAAGGCTTGAGGAAATCCATCTTCCCCCGCATCCTGGTCCCGTTTCTTAGGGGCAAACGGGCACCAAGATGCACTCCAAGATGGATTTCTGCTAGTTCTAATTAAGAGAGCCTTTGTCTAAGAGCGGAAAGATCTCCTTATTGAGTGCTTCCTCGAGGTCGAAGATGGACTTGCTGCTCAATTCCTACAGCCGATACGATACGCTCAACATTCTAATACACATGCACAACGTCATCGATCTACGTCGACACTGAAGTTGCCCTTGCCTTGTGAGGAGAAGCCATAATCATTCCCATTTTTTCGCCGCCTGCTGCTTTTGTGGCCTTATCTGGATCCTCCAATTGGGCGAGCCATGCCCGAACCATCTCGCTGGCTGCGCGTAATTGCGCGATCAGCTCCTTTCGATAGTTATCGCTATCTGCCTGATTCCTCAATATGGAAAGGCCTTGGCGTTTCTTAGAAGAGGGAGGGATGTCATGTGTGTATCCCAGATACTGATAGTGCGGCTCCTAGTGGTAGTACCCGTAGATTTTTTTTTTGCGTTAGGACTAAATGCCACCGCCCTTTCAAACAATTAATTAACTCGTTCAACTAATTTTTTCATACGAGTTACATACTGTGGGCGCACAAGACCGTAGAGATGCGTCATGGTCTTACTACTCATAATTATCCCTCCGATCATCTACATCTACAATACCACCTGCATATCGGGATATCATCGGAGACTCTACTGATCCACCATCTTCGAGATCGAACGAGCTCGAGCACTCCAGAGGACTTTACAACTCTACCAGCGCTCGATACGGGAGTTCACAAATTTTCATCTATAAAGAAAATATTAAAGAACAAGGAGAACCTGTACTGTAAATTCATTTCCGGCGTAACTTTGCGGATCATGTCGAGCAAATTGCTTTGCCAATGCGGTTTGCTTTCTGCTGGTGGCACAATCGTCAGCTCCGTTTTCAAACCGGCTCCAGATGCCTCTCCTGAGCGATTGCTTTTCTTATCATGCCTCTCAGGGGAGAAACTAGAGGATGAAGAAGCTTCTTCTCCATCCCGTACTGTCTTTGCTCCGACAACGTTGCAACTAGGTCTTGTTGGATCAAAGTTGAAGATACTTCTGAAAAGAAGCTTCGACGGATGGTTCCAGTGTGGAACGTTCAGCAATTTTCCAGGATCATTATCCGGATCACCGTTTCCGCCGCGCCTTGGGCAGGAATTAGATGATGAGGTTGAGAAATCGAAACAAATCAGGACCACTATCAGACTCTGTTGTCGGTCTACTCAGGAATTTCCCGCGTTTCCCCACAGTAAGAACGGCATATTTATATATGAAGAAGAATATGTGCCTCCTTCGTAGGCCATTCTACTGGAGTCACACTGTTCATAACTCCCCTCTCCGATTGCGACATTACCGAAGAATTTTCGTCGTCAAACATGCCATTGCGGTAGTTGTAATTGCAGTCGGTGAGCGTTAGGCCCAGATCGTGCCCTTCGTATGCGTGCCGCTGTCTGGACGTGATCTTCTCCCCTGGTTGTGGCTCACGCTTCGTAGTCAATATTGTTTTCATGGCTTGCTTCTGATCTTCAGTAATGTTACGACCCAATTTTCGGCTCATTTCTTGGAGAGCATAGTTCAGCTGCTCATCGCTGCCCCGTGGTGCGTCATGATCCAAGAGCAGTGGATCGCGTCCTTTTCTTTTGTCGTTCGGCGTACCCTCCTCACGATTCTTTCGTCGTTGCTCTTCAGTCCTGCTCGCCAATTCCACTTTCTTTGCTGAAGTTTCCGCGATAAACAATGCGTCTTCTTCTTCATTCCACTCCTCATCGTCTTCATTCCACTCCTCATCCACCACACCTTGCAGGACCTCGGGATCTTCTCAATCTTAGGGGATGGATTTTTACCTTCCTCACTATACAACATAGGTCGGGAGGCTATTAATTAAACCTGCTGAACTAGTAAATATAAATAAGCAGCAACTAGCGTGATTCACCAAAAACTACCACCCGCCCGCCTTAAAAATCAGGCGGCCCCGCTGCGTTGTTTCCACCGACATTCATGTAGAGTTCTGGTAGAGTTTTGGTTGTCTTCACCCCAAGATATGCGTTCAGCATGGCGATGCCTTGTTCCCTCATCGTTTGTCGCTCCGCTTAGGTTAGAACAAAGACGGGGACTCTCTTTCGTTTCGAACTACAGAGTCTGACTCCCAGTCATAGAAATGGCCCACTCCGTCTCCGGTTTTTCTAAAAACTGGATGTACAACCACAACTCTGCCGAGAACTACTCAGCCTTTGCGAAGCAAAGTCTAAGCCCCATAACTCTGTGAGATACCACCGCAGTCTTTTGCACTCTTCGTCGACGCGGTTGACGACGTCATACAAAAAAACCTGTAACGACGTCAAAGAGGGCTTTCGTGCGTGGTGTGCGCTACCTTGTTGTGGCAGAGAATCTAGTAGGGCCGCTGTGTTAATCGTAATCTTCAAATCCGCTCTTGCTTTGGTGTCGAACAATCGGCGTACAAAGACAGCCTTTTCAAAAGGCCGCTCCGGTCCTTTGCCCACTCCCTTGGTTTCTTTTTTCCTTTTTAGAGAGTGTTCATGTTGTTGAGAAGGTAGAGGTAGTTTGTGCTCCTACTGGTTTACATTCATGAGTTTAAGTAGTACTTTTTCTTTTATGCCTAGTATTAAGTGTAAGTCGTCTCTTGGTTTTTTTATTCTTCTTGCTGTTCTACTGTAGATGATTCTCTACTAAATTCGATGCACTTGTAGGTAATTAAATTAGATGATGCACTCTATTCTTCTTGTGAGGTAAATCTAAATTTTTAGAAGATGCACTTGTTGTAAGTAGTCGCTTGCCCATAAGTAGGCAATCCATCGATTATTGTCGGAATCATGCCATGGTCCATATGTGCAGCAAGCGAGGGGTCTCGTGTGACACTTGCTCGCTGTTTGCTCGTACCTCGTAGCCTGGTTCAGCAGTACCTTGGGACCGTCAAAATAGATAAAATGCGCGTTTTGCTTCGTGTCAAAAGATCTCCTCATCATATTTTGCGCGTAGTCCTGGCTAAGTTAGAAGAGCATATTTATTGCGTGAATGCCGTTTCTTGAGAGAGCCCGCGATTCTGACTTGCGAGAAAAGAAGTTGCCCACTCATGATAGAAGGAGTCTACCTCTAGGATGATGAAAGATGACATTTCACAAGATGGAGTCTACTCTACCTCTAGTACTCATGGTGGATGATGAATCTAGAAGTACTCAGTCATGGTGGATAATGAAGAAACACTAGTAAGTTACATCTACCTCTAGAAGTACTCAGTCATGGTGGATAATGAAGAAACACTAGTAAGTTACATCTACCTCTAGTACTGGTACTCATGGTGGATAATGAAACACTAGTAAGTTACATCTACCTCTAGTACTGGTACTCATGGTGGATGATGAAACACTAGTAAGCTAAATCTAGTACTCATGGTGGATGATGAAACACTAGTAAGCTAAATCTAGTACTCATGGTGGATAATGAAACACTAGTAAGTTCACTTGTTCTTAAATTACGCGACACTGCTCCTCGGTTCCGCTTGTGACCTGCCACATCGTGAAAGAGTTGTTCAGCGGTCTGTCAGCATGTATCTTGTATATGCCACTGAATCTTAGAGCAAGAGGTCTGTGGTCGAGAAAATTCCGGTGAGAGTTGTCTCCTATTTAATATTTTGTGGGGTTGCGTGCGTCCGCCCTGCAGGTGCGGCCTGGCCGTGAGTCAGAAGTGGAGCCTCAACCTCGAACCTTGTCTCTAAAGTATATAAATTCACGAGAACTTCTTCACAGGAGCTCGATTGAATAAGTGCTTACTCCAGTAAATCCGTCATAAGAATTGGTGCCGCTCAGGAAAATCTTTGAAGAAGAAGAACTCAGCAGCGTCACCCCTAATTGCCGCCACCTCTTTGCGATAGCTGCTGCATGACACCACGTTCACTTGGATAATGGTGTCACCCCAACCATGATCATGTGGTGTCTTGTTATTAGAAGTAGTGGCCGGGGGATCAATCTGGGTTCTGTCTTCAATTAAACTCTCACTAACACTAGTTCATTACTAGCAGAATCAATGAACACCAGGTCGTTACATATATTGATGTACTCACTGATGTTACCTCTTTGTTCAAGGGAATAATGGAGGTTCTATAAGATAGAAGCATGATGTACTAGTTGTACGTTGTCATAATATCATTCCTCACAACCTTCGTGACTCCTTGCATGTTTGACAGATCGCTATAGCTTGTTGATCCCGAGCACGCTCCACGAATACTTGCTGCTAAGCCTCCGTAGCCATGTGCTGCCCGCCTCGCAGCCTGGCTGTTGTCCACTATTAGGGGTTGAAAGTTGACCGATCTAACTCGCATATCTAAGCCATTGCCTGTTGAAGAGGTGAATGAATGTACCCACTCCAGGGGTTAAGAAGAGAGAACTAGCAACTACTTCCTTCTACGTCTTGCTTCATGGTAGGTCAACTTCCAACCCTTAACACTATTTCAGACCAATTTTGTCGCGCCTCTTGGATCTTTGCACTAAAAATTTCCCTAAATAGCTTCGCTAATATGTCATGGAACATCCGACCACACCCTGATCTGTCGGCTGGCAACTTCTCAAGCTCATTCGCGCGGGTGGTGAGATACTCTTCATCTAAATCCGGTAGGAATACTATGAAAAGAAAAAGCGCGCTCACACTCAAGAAAGGAGCTACTTTCCTACTTAAATCCTTCTAGCCAAGTTGTTCTTGAGTGTGAGTTTGCACTTTTTCCTTTCATAAAGCCCGCAAGCATGTTGTATAAGTTCGTTGGTACTGCGATAGGCCTGTAACCGCATTTGATGATGAGTTTCTTCTTACTCTCGTTCCCCGATGCGAATCGTTTTAGAGCTCCTCACCCAAGTCCAAGTCCATTTTGGTGGAGTCCATCTTCTTGGAACTGTTTTCCTCATGCCCTTATGCTGGGACAGTTCCAGGATGCTTCACAGGATGGATGTTTAAGGTAAAAAACGAAAAAGCCTTAAAGGTTGTGGCAAGACAATGTTTCCATTGTGGGGGTTTGTCCCCGCATATCTCTTCTGAAATACAGTCCACACCTTCTTCTTGACCAAATTTCCATTGGCGTCACTGCTCTGCGAAATACACTGACACTCGAAACACTCTGGCTTGCTTTCAAACGTTCGCATTAAATGTCGCGCTGCTTTTCTTAGAAGGGATCTTCGCTAGTGGTCCAGCTCCACTTGGCGGTTTGCACCTTCTGGTATTAAGTACAACTACCCAACGCAGGAGGAGGCGCACTCAAAAATACTACGAATAAGTAATTGATTCTTATTCTACCGTACTACTTCTTCTACTACTAAAAACGTAGTCCTCGTGGTCACACTCAGCATCGAAAAAAAAGATGAACAAAGCGGAGGAGTCGTAACTCTGTCGCCCATGCGTTTCCGTAGTCGCTGTCTGCACCACGGCACAGACACAACACCTCGTGCCACGCTTGCACTATGTTTGCTCGCTCTTCATGTTAGAATTCGGAGAAATTCGTCTTGGTGGGCATCTCGCTGCCCATTTATTTCTCTTGAAATTTAAAGTGGGTCCCCTGAGATGTTTTTGGGGAACAAGATGGATTTCTTCAAGCCATAATCATGGTAGCTGATCGAGTTCTCTCGATCGCGGCTTTTCATGTCGAAGTCGAGAAAGTTGTAACCGTACCATTTATCTCCAGCGCGGCGCGCTCCTCTCCAAGTATTCTTAGAGCTAATATCGACAACCCATCTGTTAGAACATCTTTCACTTCTTTTCAAATAGAAACTGCGTGAAGGATGCTGTGGGAGATGGCTTGACGGTACTCCTAATATTCCCATGCGAATCTAAATGCGGTTGCTGCACAAGCATGCCCTTCACATACAACTTGTTGCGAAAGGCAGGACCGCGTAAAATTTCGAATCGATTGTGTCCCGCGTGTTTTCCATGCAGAGGCGGTCTGAAGACGAGGTGCTCGTAGTTGTTCAGGAAGATTAGAAAGACGTAATTTTGATGGACTTGGACGCCTTGTCGTTGTCGTACCTTAATTATAATCCTCTAATTTGATGCTTCTAATGCATCAACCTAAGAAAGGTCTCTTGTAACTCCACTAAGTATATTCCTTTCACGATCTCATCAAGAACGAAATCAAAATCACACAAACACAAGAAACACGTACTCACACTCACACACGACATCTTCATAAAAACAAGTAGCGGCGTCGCTCGAAATTGGCTCCTTTCAACCAGACTCGGGTATCGTACCTACTGTCATAGCCATCGTCCGGTATCTCGTTAAGCTGTGAATACTCATGTGCTTGCATGTGATCATGGCATTCGTGCACGTCACTAAGCGTGTAATGCAGCGTCACCTGGTTGTATTGCTATTGCACTTTGATTTAATTGATTGATTGTCATTCTTGTCTGCTAAAGGCAACTTTCTTTAGAGAGTGTGAGAGTGGTCAGTTGTTTAAGTTTTGATGCAGCATTGCTAATGCTAGAAGGTGGTAGAAATAGAATTTCGACAAGACTTGTATTACAATGTAGGTTTTACCGCTTGGCTATGCTGTTGCTTCTTATAATGGAAGTCGTATTGGTAGCCAGGCGCGGACTCTATGCAGATATTCATGTGCTGGCCCCTGGCGAAGACACTGCATGCAGACTGCAAACCGTCTCCAAACTTGCCCTTCGCCACTTGGGTGTGCACGCCTAGCTTTTCTTGACCCGTATGCCCAGCTGCGAATGCTCTTGGGGGCAAAGCAGTCGAATAGTTTATCAACGTCAGTTCTTTGACATCCGGATTAAAATCGATCATTGAAAGTTTGTACCACTTACTAGGGTCATTCCAGTCTTGTGCAACGAAAACAGCACGAAAGCGTTCCTCCGGAGGCTCTTGCACTTGCTGATGTTAGAAGAAGTATTTGAATTATGTAAGAAGAAGTGCCAGAATATGATAGAGATTTTTGACGAGATTCTTGTTTAACTACGAGCACCAGTCTTTTTCCGAAAAATACTTGGAATTTAAACGAGTCTTAGCAGCACGACTAGTACTTACTCGGTACAACTAGAAAGAGCAACAATAGGCCTTAACATTGATCATAGGCTCCATACCCATAGCCCGCACGTTCATGGTCTAACTCCATATCACCCCTCTGCGTCTCCAGAGTATAGGTCCCTTCCAACACCTGCAATGTAATACTCGACGTGTCAATCACTCCCCTGTACATCGTTGCATTTTTCACCATGAGTACCGTTTGATCGTGCCAATTCTGCACGAATTCATCGGTCGCATTCGTGGCGCTCCATCGTCCGACAGCACGAGAAGTGATGTTGAGGTCGACAGCATAGTGGCCGCTTCCTCTTGAAGCAATACTTTCAAACTCCGTTTTAAAGGCTTCAAACTCAGAAGAGTGCTCGTGGAACTTATAGACTGTGCCTTCGACCGTGCGATAATCTTGTTCTGCGGGAGCTGCGCGGTTACCTGCATTGCCAGTTCCTCCTGCTTCATGGTAACAACCTCCTTGATGCAGCCCTTCGTTGTAAGCACCTCTGGTGTAGTTGTAGTTGTTCAAATCCTGCTGCTGATGTTGATGTTGTTGCGCCTCCAACCTCTCATGCTGAAAACCTGCAGATGGCATGGTCGTGGTGTTACTTGTAGAGGCTTTCTTGTGCTGTAGTTTTATTGTCGAATTCGAATGCGACATTGAAGAATATGGAGCTCCATAAGTATAGTCAGCGGCCCCTCCTGCGCCATCACCTCCACCAGCTGCGCTAGAACTAGAATTATCCGCACCAGCAGCACTGCTCTCATCAAGGATCGAACCATCTCTGTGCGCCCTGCGAGAATTTTTCTGTCCCACATGGTTGTGCCCCGCCCAGCCATCCTTGTTGTAAGAGTAAGCACTTACAGTTACATCAACTTGATGATGTTGATGACCATGATTTTCTCCAGCAACCGGACTAGCAGTACCGTGCTCAGCAGAATATCCACCCACGCCACCGCCACACGCCTCTGCTGGCGGTGGTGGCGGAGGAACGGCCTGACAATCCACTGCTGGAACCATGCTATCTCGCCTAGCAAGGTTAGAGGTCAGTTCGTCGTTATGGTCGTTGGTGTAGGCGTTGTGACTGGTGTGGTAGTCGTTCTGACCACTAGCTGGTGTCTTTATCCATTTTAGGTAGACCTCATCTGCCCTTTGTTAAATATTTCCTAGTTGTACAGCAATTGTTGCAAGAATTAAATTAAATACGTGGATCATGCTAAGTGATAGTAACCTTCAACATGATCCTTAACAGTAGTCTCTCCAACCGCAGGTCCTTGTGAAAGTCGACTCATCTGCGACAGTCGAGGTATGAATGGTTGTGCTCCTGAATTCCATGATCCATGCTCTTGAGCCGTATTCCCCGGAGTTACAACCTGCGCTGGAGGATGAACCCACTCTTGATATAACGCCTCATTGTCCGCTGCTGGTCTGTTCCAGGTGGCACGTTGCGATGGAGTCTTAGAAGAGCAGGAGGAAAGACTACGTACTATGTTGATAGCCGGAACTCACCACGGTGTAAGTACTTTCGTATTGATGTTCTGGCATTTCTTGGTAACCTGAAAAATTGGATCACAAGGATTCTCTTCTTGTTTTCCTTATGATCAAATTCAGGTTATACCAAATGCCAGAGCCATACAAATTCTTTATGGCTACAACAAAAGCCACAACTACGCCAACTACAACTTACCCTGCTATCTACTTCCACAACGACAACTCACACTCAGCGGGAATTTGCAAAATAAATTTGAATTTTCATCTTGGTTCTTCCATATGATTATGATCTGTGTAGGGACCACCAGGCGTCTGCACGGGTTGATGTTGAGGATGTTGAGGCATATGATATTGCTGTGGCCCCCCACCGGGTGTTGCCATGTGTTGATGCATACCTGCAGCTCCAGCGGCAGGAGGTGGATAGTTGTGTACTTAGAACTTCCGGGAATCCATCTTCAAAGTCATCGCCATCCCTGTCAAACCTACTTACCTCCCTTAAATTTCAGTCACTTACTCGGTTATTTTCAGTTTTCGAGTAGATGCCCTTACACGGGAGGTCCAAGAAGATGCTTCTAGAGAAGATGGATTTCTGGTACCCTTAATAATGTACCACAGTCTCATGGAGTCGACCGCCTGGCGAAATGTGTTGGCCTACCACCTCCCCCCCAGCATGACCAGCTCGTCGAGGGTCTACCACGTGGTGCTGATGATGCTGTATATTTAGAGCTACCAACGTGCATCCCTGAGACCATCCCTGGATCCATTTCCCTCTTGAAAATGAGGCAGGGATCATGCTGTAGGGGGATGCTCGCTTGGTAGCCTTAATATATTGTGCTGTTCTTGTCGTGGATAAAACGTTTGATGCTGTTGAGCAGGAGGTGCTTGGGGTATCTGACCATGTTGAGGTTGAGCAGGAGGTGGAAGTTGGGGTACTATCATCTGTTGACCATGATGTTGAGGCACAATCATGTTGTACTGTGGTGGATGAGGATGTGGACCAGCTGGAGGTTGTTGAAGCTGGTGTTGTGTTCTTACGAAATGCTGATGTAGTTGGGCTTGTGGTTGTGCAGGCATGATGCTAGCTACTTGCCGATTAGGTCCTGGCATGCGACCTGCAACGGCTGCCAGATTCTGCATCCCTTGAGGTTGCACCATCGCGGCTCCCGTTGTAGGCATGGGCATTCTACCTTGATTGTATCCCGCCAGGTTAGCGGCCACGTGAGTCGGACCTCCTAGGCCTCCTGGCTGTGCTGTCTGGTGCATTTGCATGTTCGGCATCATGTGAGGCGAAGGCTGCTGATGCGGAGTTGCAGCAGCTGAGGAGCCCATGAACGTACCTGGTTGAGCTTGTCCTTGTTGAGATGACATGACAACTCCACGACCAGGCGCGACCGCGATTGTTGATGAAGCCGTTGTAAACTGACCTGGAACAGCACCTCCGGGACGATTACTCGCGGTTAAGTTGTGCGGAGAGGGTCGTATTAGAGCTGTCAATTGTTGTTTCCAAGTACCTTCCTTACATTTGCCAATATTTTGATTCGCTGAAAATTGGAGGGAGATTTATCCGAACAATCATGCATCTTCTCAACATGGTAAGTAGTTCGAAATTATCGACAATCTCGATCTTCTTCCTAAAAGCGCCTGTCCACCAGCTCCCATCTGCTGATGTGCTAACTGCCCTTGAACTTGATGCGGAACACCAGCAACCATCTGGTGCGGTTGGAACGGTGTTCCGGGTATCATTTGCGCGATCCTTTCCGAGAGGCGACTCGAAAACGTTGGGGAAGGCAGCGGCCCAGCGGAAAAATTCACCTGCTGGAGCACTTCGCTCCCATCAGGCATCTAAATTTAGGAAACAACTTATAAAATCAGTAGCAGATTTTTAGACCAAAGAAACCTTCTTCAAGCAAATTTTCTAACTACTGGTGCAAGACTTAGACCACTACGTAAATCTACAACTAACTTGTGTAATATTTTAGTAGAAGTAGGAAGAATTACATCTAGACGTACGAGAAACTGAATAGCGCAAAAAGAAGAGCAGTTTCCATCAACGAAGACACCAAAATACATCTTTGTCGTTGACTGGTCGTGACATTGAGACAAGAGCCTCACAAATCAATGGTAACTTTCTATTTTGTGTTCGTGCTAGTGACCTTCGATTAATATGTAAGCATTACTGGTACATAGTTAAATGTCGGTATAGCGATACTTTTAATATCACAGAAAAACGATGACCCTCTACCTAGATCGTTCAACTATTAAATACTTGTCGGGTCTGCGGGAATAAACAGGACCGATATGATGGGAGTTCTTAAATACAGTATGATGAGACGTTATCCTACATTACGGAATGAAGATCATTTTGATTTTCTACTTCTTGTAAGTACTTACTACGATAGCAGATATTATTCACCCTGGTGTTATTTGGGAAAAGATTGGTGAGACTGGTAGAAGTAACGTAGTCAATATCAATATGCCGTAGCCTATGTTATGAATGAAGGATGCCAATGTCAGTCACCAGTCTTTTACTGGCGTCATCAACAGAGAGGGCGTGTTGCTAGAGAAGCAACGAGGAGTGGTCTGCCTTCATCATTTCGAAAAAGAATTCATTATGCGATAGCATCATCTAGATGTATGTACTCACGCTGAGAAGTATGGCTATGCGTTTTGCGATTGTAGCAAAAGCCTTCTAGTGGTATGTAGTTGAGCTTGAGTTTTCTCCGTCGCTACTGAAGAGAATCATGATTGTTAGAGAGTAAATCCAATGGTCGAAAAGAGTTGAGGTGTAGCAAAGTAGAATACGGCGTTGGCTTTGCGGACGGTGGTTCTTTTGTGCAGGCATCCTACATTTGTAGCATAGTTTTGCATGCATCCTACATTTGTAGCATAATTTTTTCGTCCACACGGTGTGTTCGTGGAAAAAAAAACAGGTCGATTGATGCATGGTGTACTCAAGTCATTGGATTTTTAGATTTTGATGACGAGGAACCAACTGGATGGCACAAGTGGAACACTGAGACTGCTTCAACAAGAACCGAATTACACGGCTTCACGGCCAGAACATCTATCCGTGATCGATGATCTGAGGAACGAAGGATTTGAGGTGTGCTTTCTCGTGAAGGATCTTCGTGTTTGCCCTTGTCGCTGTTCTAGTTTTTCTTCGCCCAAGAGGAATAGAAGATGCTCATCGAAGCTGTTCGTTTCCCAAAAAGAAGTGAGGCATTGGGATACTCCTACAAATTCCTTGAGGACCTATCTACTCGCCGAACTCGAAGATCTCACCATGATATAATGTACAAAGAGACGACCACAATGATCATGACAAGATTTCAAAAAACACATAAAAACGTCATGCTGTTACACAGTCCTCGTCCATTGTCAGTTTATGGGGTATGTTAGTGTTATCTACGCAAATGATACTTTCTGACCTACAAGAAGTAGTATAAGCAGGTCGTATGCACTTCAAATTGCAACGACGTTCCGATGATTAGTCTATGACTAGGCCTATCTCCACGTGGTCTATTCATCCTCTTCATGATTCTATACACATCGATCTATTCTTCACATTCGTTCTGTGAAAAAACCAATCGCGGTTGTGTTCAACGTCTGTCTCATTTTATCCCCACCACGGGCTGTTTCCCGCCACTTCCCCACACCTTGCTGCAGCTATACTGCGACCTACTAGCAGCGGTTGACATCATTTGATGATGGGCCCTTGACTTTCCAGCGAGTTCTCCATGAACCTGTAGTGCCGTCCACACCTGCGGCGAATTCATTGCGCTTTTGACTGTAAAACTCCGTAAGCTTTCGCGCTGCTCTCCATCAAGGCAATCTAGGGGGATGGTGAAGGTGATGCCCGTGGTGGATGAGGACGATCTTGCTGCTGTTGAAGAGCTACCTTGTTTCGTGGGACGATTCGCTGAAGAAGTAGAAGGGGATGTTTTGTTGGTAGGCGAAGCGGGGGACGCAGACGAGCTGCTTTTTGTTGAAACACCCGTAGCTGCCACCGGTGGAGGACACAAAGTCATCCCTTGCATTACACAAAGCAAGTGCCCAGCCGTCGGACGCTTTTCTGGCCTCATCTCTAGACAGGATTGCAACAACGCACGCAAAGGAGGTCCGTAAGTCCATCTCAGCCACGTATGTTTCGTTGGGTTCAAAGAGTTACTACTTGGTCGTTGACCCTTGGATGGAATCACAACAGCACTTGAACTTGAGGTTGAGGATCCGGATCCCTTGCAGCTTGTTCCATAAGAAGGACTACTCGTTTGGTGCACCAGGAGGAAATGTGGCATAGGCAAAGGTGTCCATCTGGCAACGCCGCCAGAGGCGTGTTGGAGGGCTTGTAATTCCCAAGGTGTGAAGGGCTTTTCGAGCATCGCCATTTCATAGAGGACGCAACCCAGCGACCAAATATCGCATGTAGAGTCGTATCTTTTGGCTTGGATCAACTCCGGAGACATCGTAGACAGCGTGCCAACACTGGTTCGCGCTTCGTTGAAGATGTGGATCCGAGATGTGGTCTTCGTGTTATTTTTGTTGCTGTAGTTACTTCGGGTATTTTTGTTTGATGTAGTTACTCCGTGGTTGTTTGATGTGTTTCCATTGGCAATATTGTTTTGGTGCCCATTCAACACCTGCTCTTGCTGATAGATCCAACTCTCCCGTGTTCCGGCAGGTAGGATAAAGGCGCTTCCAAAGTCTGTTAGTTTCCAAACTCCTTCCCGTGCAATATCAGTCACGTACCCAGTGCCTCTCCCAGTACGGCTATCCATCGTGGTTGCTCCTTGCGGCATTGGCATATGGATTTTGGCATGTTGATGACGAAAGAAGTTGTCACGACTTGCATCGTTTTGATCGTTGCCTCGTCCTCCGAAGATATCATCGTCATCATCGTCTCCATTACTACTACTGCTGCCACCGCCACCTCCCGATCTAGAAGACGAACTTCCACCAGATTGATGCTGGTTGCCACCTCGACCCCCACCAAAAATCGGCCCATTAGAGGGCAAAGCATGCAATGGCGGTCGTTCATCCGCACACCAAAGGATATTCTCAGGCTTCACGTCTCGGTGCACTATGCCACGAGAGTTCAAGTACTCTAAAGCGCGTAGCATGTCAACTGCAACTTTCTTCACTTCAGCGTCTGCAATACGATGTGCTGCAGCCTGCATCTGGTCACGGACGTCCACTGTCCCGCTCGAAGTGTTGTACTTGTGACCGAAAAGCAAAGGCTTTTTCTCTATCTTGTTGTAGGAAGTGTCGCGATCGCTTCGTTCAGAAGCACGGTTGTGGGAACCTTCAATATTGGACTTGATGTTCGTGAAGTCTTCAGCATTGTGGTCATGGTTATACCCATCGCGTTGAAGGTGCACATGCAGACCTGATTCTTCGAATGCTATCTTTTCTCTAGCTCGCTCCGTCTCCGAGTTAGAACTGCTACTTGTAGGTGCCCAGGAGCCCCTTGCGCTAGAATCCGCCGACGACGAAGAGCTAGAGCTTCTTGACCAAAGAAGTCTCCCGAAGAGATCAGGGAAGCAACCAACAGTCTCATGTCGTTGTTCTTGTTTGGAATTAGAGCTGTCCGCAATTCATCTTTCAAGTGCATCCTTGAAAAGTATGGGGGAGCATTCCCTTAGGATAGTGCTCCTCCATACGTTTCAAGGATGCGTCCAAAGATGTATTAGGTACAGCCTTAATGGAAGACATAGAGTCACCCATTGAAGACGTAGACGTTGGTGGTCTAGTACGTCTACATAGGAGATGCGAGAGGCCATCAGACTCGGCGCTACTCTGTTCGGTGGAAGAAGAGAAAGAACTGTTCGGACGACGAGGACTACGACTTCTACCCCTTTTCACTGAACCTTCCACGTGTCCCCCCGTCGTCCTGTGCTGTCCTTCTTTCCCAGGTGACAAAGGCGGCAACCGCCCTCCTGAGAGCTTTCTCGGTGATGATGAGAGCATCACGGTAGTGTCCATTCGATCGCGCAAGTCGCGAAGTCGCTCAGCCGTCTCAAATTGTTGTTTATTTTGTTGTAATAATGCAGCTTGCTGCTCCTTCGATGTTGTCGAGTTAGCTCCTGTCATTAAGGTCGTGGAAGCAGAGGATAAAGCGGTGCCAGAAGGGGATCTTTTCATGGCTGCCGCTCTGTCAAGGAGGTCTTGTGTCGCACTTTGGCCATGGTTTCTAGAAGGTGAAAAAGTCGGAGACACCCCATGCAATTTTTTCTGAGCTGCTCCTTGACTTGCAGATAGCTGTTGATTCCTGCTCAGAAACTCCGCAAGGTAGGCGGGAACTTGCAACGATTTCTTCTTCTTTGCAGTTTCACTTTTAGCCAAGGTTGTCGTTCCCATCAACATAGTACCAACATCTTTTTCACCCTCTGCTCCTGGGGATAAAGGTGGAAGCTGCCGAGGCGGAGACAATGATCCAGGCAAAGGCATCGTTCGATTCAAATTCACTGATGTTGACGGCAACTTACTCCGCGACCCTCGAGCCATATTAACCTCAGGTGACATCACAATAGAGGATCGACTCCTCGTCACTGCCATAGAAGTTGAGCGTTTACCAGGAGACGACTCCTGCTGCTGTGCTGAGCTAGGACGCAGGGCTGGGCCAGTACTACCCGATCTCGCTTTCGACGAGGGTGCCGATAACTGGTGCATTGTTGCAGCATTCATGTTCAACTTTTGCGGCTTTTCAGAGCTAGGAGATGTAGTGTGCCCTTGACTTTTTGCTGTACTTCCAGGAGCACCCACATTCGAAATCCTCGGTGATCCGCCATATTTCTGTTCTTCCCGTTGTCGTTCTTGTTCTTGTTCTTCCTCTTGTTGGGCCATGAACTTTGTGTACAATTCCTTTTGCTTCTTCCTCTTATCCCGCAAAGCCATGTCCTTCTCTTGATGGTCCGGCAAAAGCTCTGCATGACTATCCGGATTCCCCAACGGTCCTCCATAGACGTTTATCAGGGCATTGGTGTAAGCAGCCGAGTACGTCTTATTCGCCAGTTTCTGTCGACAGTCGGCTTCATATGCGTTCCTCTGTTTAGTCACGAAATGAATCATCCTGTCTAGACAAACGTCACACTTTTGCATCACAATGTAAACGTCACGAGAGAGACCTTCAGGACCAGGAAACCAGTCCATGACGTGAACAAGATTTCTCTGTGGCCTTGACAATTCCCACAAACCTTGGTATTTCGCGAGCATCTCTTCTAACTCGGTGGTGAAGTTCGAGCTACTTGCTGAGTTTGTTCCTCCTCTGTTGTTCGTGTAAAAATTGCCTCCAGGAGGATGTTGACGCCCTCCCGCAGTAGCAGCGACGTTGCATCCGGCGCGATGCAGTTGCAAAAACTGCTGCTGCTGGACATTTGTCACCTGGCCTCCTTGTTCAGAACCTCCTTGTTCAGCCCCATCTTGCTGTTGATGTCCTTTGTTAAAAAGATTGATGAACGGGGCCGACGGACCTGGTAAACACGAAGGAGAAGTGACCACATTAGTGTTACTGTTAGATGGGGAAGGTCGTGTGGCGCTGGCGCCTCCCACTCCCCGAGACAAAGAAGCACTTGTCCCCGACGCTGAGCTCGCTGCACCCGACTGAGTCGACACCTTCGAAGATGACAGGTGATCAGACAGGTGATCATCGTCCACGATTTTTGTGTTCCAATGATTTCCACCTGGCACTGCATTCGTTAATTCTGCAAGCTTCAGTTCTACTTGTAACGTCGCTTGCGCCACCCTCGGAGGCATACTCGACAATTGCATCCTCTTAATTAGGGGTTGCGCAATTACATTCTTCAGATCATCCTTGACTTCGTTCCTATTGGAAAATAAGTCAAGAATGGTAGTGAAGGATGCAATTCGGTAACCCTTAACTTAAGTGCTACATATCGGAAATGCCCTCGACCAACGACTCTTGCAGCCTCGATCACATCGCCTTTGGCGCCGAAGCCTAACACTTCACCAGAACTGTGGTAACCGGACATATGCCCAAGGACGTCGCCTGATCGATACATCTCAAAATTGTCGGAAATATCTCGTAGAGCTTTGCCATGGTCTTTGCCACCGTTGATCTTCTTGATAAAGCGAACGGCACTGGAAGGGACATTTTGGAGGATGGCAATGCCACTGTTCGCATTACCTTTAGGTGGAGGAGCATCTGGGGAGCGGCTCCCAGTACTAGGGCTAGTGTTCGCAGAAACCTCCAGGACCATTTTGTCAAATTCGCTGCCGTGAGTTTAATGATATGACGAGGTGGAGGATGAGAATAGGAATACTTCTAGGGATACATAGATTGAGATGCTAAGGAATTCTCCTTTACATTTTCACGATGTTTTTCGCATCTCAAAGAAAAAATTATGATGGGAGCGGCATATTTTTTATGGAACTCCACAAGAGCAAAGCTGGATATGGAGGAATGAACGTCGAAAAGAAATGTACACACAAAAATTGAGGGGGAGAAAACAAGAAAACATGAGATGAGTCTGAGTGAGGTCCTGAAAAATTTCATTAGCTTCATTACGCCATGCAACTACTGTAAGACATAAAAGTTCATCCCACGCTCCAAATGCTTCCTAGCGCATTTATTGCACATCTCTCGACAGGCAGCAGAACACAGATAGTTAATCGTTGCAGTAACAGATCTCTTCGAGAGCCTTAGTAGTCGCGACCGAACACTCTTTCTCTCCGGAGAACAGATGTGCCGCCTTTACTATTACTTTCACTGTCGATAGACGAAGGCAGATGGTACCTTGTCATCGTTCAGAACAGATTTATGCTTTTGACTTCTATCACTCTCTCGAACGGGAATGTTATGGCATGCGAACACAGCCACCTTTCAAGATTCAAGATTCAACGGGGCCTCGCTTCTGCCTGGACGCTAGGTGCGACGGCGCTTTTGCACAAACAAGACACGCTTTTGCACAAAGCTCGGCGAGAATCTCAAGCGCATCTTCAACTCTCGTTCTTAAGTACTTTTTTCAGGTTTCATGGCCAACTCTCATGCGGGCACAAGTAGAGTATACAAACAGGAGATGAAGGAGAAGATTCTCCTAGACATGGAAGTAGAAGGCACAATTCAGTCTTCTATACATTCGATTCCGAACCTATTTTACCGACGATTTTCACGTGCAAGGATATCATTTTAGAAGTCATGTAATTATGCGCCAAGGCCATTATCTCAAAAGTCGAGTTTTTTCACTGGTACAATGAATTGGTTTTCTTATTTCTTTGCTGACTATTACGTGTAAATAACGTCGGGGATGTGACTCTAGTTTGAAAGATATCGTAGCTTCTATATGAACGGATTATCGATCCATGACAGGGAACTAAATTACGTAGGCACTTTTTTCTCGCTGTTATACGTAGGAAGTTGATAATTATGTGGCTTTTCAAGAAGTGTCAATATGCTGTAAATATGTTTTTGCTAGTAGATAGAAGTACAATTCTGTCTGACTCTGAAATGGTATGATCGGATCTCTAGTAGAGTATGACAACACTACATCATCCTACTCTTCGGAACAACTTTTTGCTGTAGGTAGAGCATGTAGTTCGTCGTGTCTTTCGCTGGCTTGTTTCCTTCCGAACTGCCAATCGTGTTTCTCGACATGCGACTGTTTTCTCGCTCTAGTTGTCCCTGGAGCGCGACGCTCCTGCTTACAGGACGACTGCTATCCGCACTATTGTGCCCACTGCGGTTAGTTCCATTGCCACTACCTCCTAGACTGCTAGCTGACATGGGGTCGCCGTTCTCGTCTAGACGCGCCTCAGCTTTCGCTTTCGCCTTCTCTTCTTGCGCTTGTTTATCCAACTCGTTGTACCACACCTCAACGCAGCTGGCCAGAATCTCTCCATATTTGTACATCACAGCCATATGCGTACTAGAAGTCTCACCGCGAAAATGACCATCATCTCCGAAGGCGCTTACGGCGCCATTCGAGACCCATTGGATGCAACCTTTGTTTTGGAGTTGTTGATATCGTGGATTGAAGTCGTCAGTTCCATGTCACGACTCTAGCCAGCTGTACGATCAGAATATCCTGTAGGAAGTAGTTGTAGAAGGTACACACAAAGTCAAAGGCAAACAGTCATTTTTGAATATAATTCACATTTCTAAGTTTAGGTTTAGGTTTACCGATCATCGGCCCCTTATTTTTCGATTGTTCTGAGCCTGCGTCTCCCGCACTCCTGAGTCTCTTGAAAATCGGGAACGTGTGGATATTTGGTTTCCCCATACGCCTTCCATTATAAACTACTGGCAAATCGACGCCCTCGCAGTGTTCTTCCCGAACTTTCATGATACTGCTCTGAACGTGCTCGTCTCGCACACAGAGGAAGGTCTGGTATTGGTATTGGGTGATGAGTGCCAGTGCGTTACAAGGACAAGCAAGAAGCAAGTACTTAATACTACTCAAGGTCAGGCTCAGGTCCTCCAGCGTACTAGAGATGGAAAATGTAAATTATAAATACTTATGTACTACTTGTTAAGGAAAAGAACGAGAAGTACTAGTAGAACCTGGCCAGACCTCCTAAAAATAATGCTTCGTACCAAGCTCCACGGCATCGGTAGGTACTCCCTTGTTTCAGGGTTGATCCTTCGTTCGCGGTGCATCTTAGCCAGATCAAAATCGAACTGCTTCGTCAACCCTGCCGAGTCATAGCGCACCAACTGGATTAAGTAGACTTAGAGATGGTGAGTATCTTTGCTTTTGTCTAAACTAAGTACTTAGTTCTACCGTGGTGGACGTGGTGCACTCTTCTGGGGCGTACTAGACGTAGACTACTGAGAGCAGGACTTCTGAGTCAACGATGATTAGAATCATCAGCCATAATCATTCTCTCGCCTCTTGATCAGAGTGATTTGCACAACCAAGGCCTTGAAGAGCTGTTTCATGTGTCTCGCCACCCGTCCCATCGCATCCAATGGCGACAACTCTACTCCCAGCTCCAAACTTGCCTCTAGCAGTGCTTGCGTTCGTCGCACAGCAAGGTAATCGCCTTGCTTGGACTCACATGCGTCAAGAGTGGACTTGCCGAGGACACCTGAGAAGAGAACATCAAGGGGTACGAAATAAAGGCCTCCTAGGTGTGAGTCTCAAGAACAGCATCACGTTGTATACGGAACCAACTTAGTCTTTTTACAGCAAGGAGTTCTCATTACCAATGACATGCAAGAAAAACTGGTCGTCCTTCGAGAATCCGTGGCTCACGTCAGTAACCGACATATCTCCAGAAGAGTGGTCGACTTTTTGCAGCTTATTGATAGCCTGCAGGACCGCGACAACTCGCTTGTGCACCACGATCGGCTGACATAGGACTTCTTTCGTTCGGTATCTGTTTGACGAGATGGAAGAGATGATGAGTCGCTTAGATATCTACGACTACGTCTAGTCAGTAGGAGCAACAACTACATACAAAGAATTTTATGGAATCAACATCCGGACAATCAGTAGAAGGAGTACCCAGTCTGCTTGTCGATGCCGCGATTGAATCGACTGTCTTGATAAGCGTCTCGTATATTGATGGCTTTTCCAGTCATAGCTGCCTCCCCAACCAAGCCCTTGTCTATAGGAATCTTGATTTCAAACGCCTCTCCACTCTGCGTCGCTGACCGTGTCCAACAAATGCCGTGAGACTATTGTTCAGTAGACATAATTGATCATGATCATGTCATTTACTAGAAAATAGAAGGTCGTTTAAACCTACCAGAAGACAAGGAAATTTTTCGATGATGATGCTCTGCTATACCAATTTCAATTTCACCGGTGTCTTCAACATGCTGCATAGATACACTTCAAATGAGATGAATCCTCATCACTGTCAACTACAGAAAAGAGCAGTAAGTAGTACCGCATCCACAACCCACACGGTAACTCTATCCGCTGACAAGAATGACTTCGCAATGTCTTGAATTAAAGCCAAGGCCTGATCAGCGTCGCTCACTTCCTGCAACTTTGCTCCAGCTTCTAGAAGTTGTTTCACCTTTACGGATCGGTAGTGGAGGGCGACGAACTCTATGGATTAGAAGGGCGAGGGGTAAAGCAAGTTAGCTTTGTGATTTTCAACCTTTAGAACTACTAGAAGGAGTCTATAGTCGTCCATAATTGAAAGCCAGTCGCTCGCATTTCTGTCGATCTTCCTCCACACAGTCCTCCAGAAAAAGGTTCGCGTAATCGCCCTTACTGCTCAGCAAGTACGCCAGAAAGTGATTCCCTAATGGGAACAGCTCGTCCTGCATCAAACCTGGCCCAACATTAAAAGTTGCACTATTTTTGCACTCTTCAGAACATCATTGACCTCTTTCCTACTGGAAAATAAGAGGCCAGGGATGCTAGTTGTGGAAGATTCAAATGCAATGTGGAAACCCATAACAACAAGTTCATACTCTGGCACGTCAGCACCCTCATCCACAATATCGTGCTCCTCGACGATCCTGAACGGTGGCGGCAAAAACGTTACATCTCCCGCATTAGGAGCATGCTGAGAATCTCCAGTCGAAGCATGGTGCCGAACAGCAGGTTGAGGAGCGGGTGTCCCTTGTTGGGCTGCTGAATTATCCTGTGTGGCTGAAGCTGAGGTATCTCCTGTTGAAGTAGCGGCTTGACTGCTATCACCAGTACCTCCCCCAGCTGTCTTCGATGGACTCTTCCCATCTCCTGTTGTGCTGATTGATGTATTGTTCCCATTTGTCGGAACTGTAGTTGGTGCCTGCATGGTTGACATCATGATCGTCGAACTCAAAGCTTCTTCCTGCGCAATCCTCTGAGGATCACTGAGATCTCTCCATGCCTTCTGCAAATCCGCTTTCAATTTCTTGTTTCTGACTTGCGCGAGCTTTTTTTGCTTCTCCGCGTACTCTAATTTTCGTCGTTGAATACTGCACATGCGCATCAGCTGGATAAACTCCACTCGCATTTTGTCGAACCCGCGCTTCCACATGTCCTCACCGCCTTCGGGAATGCCTGAGGGAGACGATTAAAATGTGGAAGACGACTATAAAACCGTGGAGAAAGCGAACCTGAACCAAGTCTAAACATGTTCCACTTGTTGAAGTAGGAACTACCATGAAGATCTAGTACATCCTTCGTGTTCGTCTACGTCTTCTTCAAGAACTGCGTCTACTAAAAGACAAAAATGATCAACATATTAACAGGATGATACGGCTTTTCCTCTTGCTAACGATTTGCTTCTCTTCCGACAGCAAACTGATGTAGTTCACACTATGCGTGATCGAATCCAGCTCCTTCTGTTTCTCGTTGTACAAGGCTTTGAAGTGCAACATTTTCGCATGAGCTTCGTCCATTCGGTTTTTCAACAATTCGTTGGCCAACTGCAAATTTTTTTCTCTGTATTCCGAATTCGACTTGTCGGAGCCCAGCTGCAGATTATCGGTCTGCAACTGCCTGGCGTCACGTTGGAGGTGCTCGAGCTGTCTCTGCAGGTCAAAAAGACGAATGTCTTCCATCCCCACTCGGTCCAAGCGGTCACCCAAGCTGCCGAGAGACTTGATAACTTGCAGCGAATTTTCAGGGTTTTCGGTCTGCTTTGCCGGTTAGAAGAGGCACGACTGGTTATTTGAGGCGGAAAGGAAGAGTCTCTAAGACGTGTGGACAGCACTACTTCGAGGACAACATCCGAGGATCCGGCACATCAACGACATCAATGTTGATACACAGGAATTATCAGAAGAAGTAGCTTATTATTCTATGATTTATTATCAAGCTCAAGTACTAGCTTCTAGGTTTTTCGTTCATAAAGAAAGTTCGTCACTGCTCTATTCCTGTGCATCTGGCGCTCGATCAAGTTCTCGTACATGGGAAACACCTCATCGGCCGGCAACTTCTTCCCTCGCATGACCGCCAATCGTTTCCGCAAATCCTCATTCTCCTTCTCCAAAGCTGCCACCTTTAGCCCTAGTGGATTCCCCAGCACTTCCCGCCATCGCTCTTCGTTTTCCTTCTTCAGCCTTTGGTGGATGAAGTCCAGCCCTTGGGAGAGAGACCCGAAGGGGAACAGTGGTGTTTCTCCGCTTTCGATGGACAAAGATTGCATACTGGTGTTGATCGAGACATTGAGATGGTTCACTTGTTGTCCTCCGGCTGTCGTATGTGGTGGTATTGACAGCTGATGGGGCATGAAGGACGATGAGGACGATCCACCAGCATGATCTTTGCCTGCGCCTGTCAGTGTTAGAAGGTGCAAGATAATCCATCTCAGGAGCTCCCTCATCTCGGTACATTTTCCTTGTACTTATCAACCACGGGAATTGGAATAAAAGGGTTGCAAGAATAAATCATGATGTTGAGAGAGATGAATATTAAAAGCTGACCATAACAGTGATGGCAATTTTGTTGTCTGGTCCGTTACACTTGCGCCAAAAGATGACGAAGCTGAATTCCGCATCGTACTAGTTGCCGACGTTGACATCATGCCGCTATTCGCAGGAAAAACATTTCCACCACTAGTTCCCGCCTTCATGGCAGAAGGCGGGTTAGGGGAGGAAGATGGCATGGTTGTGAGATTTACACGAAAAGGCTTGCAGTACTAGTTGTGCCCGAAGGCGACGAGCAAAATAGAGAGTCTGGACTTGGTTTCTTATGGTGGCTGCCTAAAAAATTGGTATGATTTTTTGTGATGCTGTCTCTACAAATGGCGGAAGTCTAGGATCAGCTAACAGAGAAGGGAGGTGGAGAATAGGGGGAAAGCAAAGGCGGGAGCGCGGACGTTCCATGATCTTCACAGGCAATAAACAGAGAAACACAATCAGAGGATCCACGCTTCTGTACAAGAGAATATAACGGAAACCGATACCTCGCGAAAAGTGATCAGAAAGACATCGAAACTCAACAGAAAAGTGTCGGGATATGATAGACCGACTCGATGAACTGATGAACAGATGAGTAATTACCGATTCGTGACAGATGGTGGACTGAAACCGACCACCGATTCCTGGAGAGTTTAGAGGTTGTTTTCTGAGCGTGATCTTCTGCTTTCATGTACAATTACAGTACCTGCATCTGAACAATACTAATCGGGTTCCGTTTCCGGGAGTTCCTAGACCTCCTCAGTCCACGTCTTTTGAGTAACGAAGTTATTTTTGTTCAGTTGTTCATCATGCTAATAAATATGCCAGTCTTACTAGACCATGAAAGTGTTGACCTTATAAGAAGTCGGTTCAGAGTGCGTTTCCTAGCATTACAATTACGCTTGTCAGGAAGAACAAAAATCATATCGAACTGCCACAATTGAATTCTACAACAACAATTTGGATAAAAATGAGAGATCAAAGATGAAGATTAGTTGTTATAATAGAGCTGCCCCCATCACTTAGTAGACTTGTTTATGGGTACTTATATAAATATATTTATAACGATGGGCTATTTTTAGATTTAGTCTTCAATCTACTTAGACATCCGAGTTCTAGGATATGGAAGATGTTGGAAAAATGAATGAGTCGTTCAGAACGTCAAAACTAGAAGAAATCGCAACGGAAATGTGAGTCTAGATTTTCTGAAGATGTTCTTGTTTCGCGTGTGTCCAATGAACAATTAAGACGTTTTTCAGTGTCGCTATTTAAGCGATAATATACTTATGCTGATGTTCTTTATTGGGTTAATAAAATAAATGAAGCACGGACCACGATGACGAAGTCAAAAAATCAAAACAGTTGATATGACTAAGTAGAACTAAAAACTAGAACGTACTGGTGACCGATCAATCGAGGATCTCGACAAGGGTCCCGAGGACTACCGACTACGGGACTTAAGTAGGTTTTATTTGCGATCAGAATTAATTTCTGGTATAATCCTCCAGATCAAAAGTAGCAAAGTAGTTTGAATCGTTCAAACAACCAGAGCACGCCTCGCTGTAGTTGCAGATTTCAGCTTCTTCGCCACTTTTGCAACTCGTGATGGATTCATTTGTTGATGACGACCTCCAGAAGATTTACTTCTTCCCTTCAAAGTCAACGACTTGAGCTTCTTGCTTGCTGAGGGTGTTGTAGGCTTGTTTGTCACAACTGAAGCTTGTATTTGTTCTGCTGCTGCTTGTCCTCGTGCTTCTGTTGTTGCATTTAGTTGTTCTACAACTCGATGCTGCACCTGATCTGCATCTGGTAACTCAGACGCACTAGACTTCTCCTGCTCAATCTCGCTTCTTCCTGTGCTACACCTTCTATCCACCAGCGACATTGATCCGAAAAGCCGAGATACTACTGCGATGTCAGGCCCTTCACAATGGTACAATTCAGGCAATATGTGCAGCACGTCTTCGGCTCTTGCTGCAATGGCCGCTGGGTCGTGAATGTTGTCATATGGATCAGCGTTTGCACTTCGATTGAGCATCTGCATCCCATCATCAGCATAGAGGCGGATGAATGGGATTGATGAACCTGGAAGTCCTGAAGACAGAGTATTTCTTGTTGAAGATGAAGAAGGAAAGGCTTCTGATCTTGGGGTATTTTCATTGCTATCGCCTCTCCTGCTAGGTCTAGAAGAGGGCTCAGATCTCCTTGAAGTGCTCAGATTGCTCTCCTTTTGATAGTCCTTTTTGTTCGTTTTGCTCGAAGTCCTCGTCTCCGGGTCCTTTTGTATCCACCACGGCACGGGTTCCGCGTCACCAGTGAGCGCGCGCCACATTATCCGTGATGCTAGGGTAATGTCATCCTCCTCAGGATTCTCATCTATTTCCTCTAGAGCCAAACGCAAAGCGCTTTTGTCGCTGGGCGTCCACCTGCTTGAAGCGTTACTACCACCACCAATTCTACTTCTGTTGGTGCTACTGCTTGATGAAGGTGAAGACCAACCTTCTTGTGGTCGAAGGATTACGTCCGCTTGTGCGGGACTACTTTGGTTCCTTGAGATTCTTTCGTGTTCATCACCAACCTCATCACCTCCTCCTCCTCCTCGCACTCCAAAAGCATCCACCAAGTCTACTAGAATTTCGTTTTTTTCTTTTGCCAAGAGAAAGTCCATGACGCAATCATGATTCGGACATGCCCATTTCTCGATCTTCTCTGTCTGAGCGGCTAGTCCTGTGCTCTCTTCCCACTTCCTGAGAAGCTGGCCTCTTCTGTTCCGAAACAACTCAAGATAGTCAAGAAGCATCTCTGGACGCTTTTCGTCAACTTTTACCTTTGTAACCACACGACCACTAGAAGACATAGATGAACTACAAGATGCCAAGCCGAAAGATACGTGTGCAGGCTCGTAGACCACAGCTCTAACCAAGCTCTCAGCCGCTGCCTCTGATGCCTTCCACCGTGTGCCAATTGGACCTCCACCACCTCGATCATAGACGCCATCTGCCTCTACCAACACCGCGTCCTGATACTCTTGAATCCGCTCTTGAACCTCTGCCATTCTTTTCTCGCTTTCGCCGACCACTGGTGCATTAGAGCAGGTTTCAAGTTTACCCGTCTAGCTCCCTTATAGTATCTATGCTCTTCCCTCCTGAGAAGGTCATAGATATCGTCGTAGTCGCAGATAGGTCAAGGTGTTGTAATCCTTAATAGTGAGGAGCTCCCTCAGAACCTCTGCTTCTCTCTGTGTTACCTCATCCCAACCTTTGAGGAAAGCCCTCCTCTCGTTCCGCAACTCCACTTGCCACGACCGCTTATCTCCCGCAAGGTCCAGGTATAGCTTCGTGAATAGAGCATCCAACTCATCGAAGTCGTAGTCTGTTAAGCGATGCTGAAGTAGATTTGTTGACGGGTAGTTGCCACGGGCCGTTGGAAAATCGAGATGCAGCTGGAACTTGATTTGATGCAGGATCAGTAAATAACTTCAAAACAAGGAAACCTCTCATCAAACTTGATGCAGGATCAGGAAATAACTTCAAAACAAGGAAACCTCGTCTCAAACTTATAGCTATTAAAATTACGTTATAAATGTATAATCGTACATTTTCCGCCCGCAAGTTTTCCCAATTATCGATTATTTTCTGCTCGAATTCACGCACTTCTTTCACTCTAGACAAAACAATGTGCATCGCAAATTCACCCATCGCACGGACCCAAGAAGACGCTACTAGGGTTTTCGCAGACGTGTGCAAAAGCCCATCACTGTTAATTCCTCCAAAAGAAGTCGCATCTTCAGTTGCGATCTCCTTTGTACATCCAGATCCTACACTTGTCTCTTGTGGATGTGGATGTGGTTGCAACGGCCCTCGTGGTTGATGTAGTTGGAACTCTGTTATATCGGATGTGTTGTTGATGGCTCGTCCTCGTACTATAGTTTTAGTGGTGTCTTCTAATGCTTCTTGTGGACGTGGAGGTGGCTCTGGAGGATGTAGTATAGATTCGTCCATTCTTGGCATCCAACTTCGCGGCACTGCTATCGTTTTTCCGTCAATTGCCGTTTCTTCTCCTTGCTCTACTGTGGTTCGTCGGTAATCGGATGGAACTTGAGGATCTCCATGACCGGAGAAAGCTGGTGGGCCAGGCGGACCTGGTGAAGTTATTTGTGTTTGAGCAGAAACTTGACCTTCAGCGAGAGTATGACTTCTACTAGCAGGATGTTGTGTTCATGATCTTCATTCCCAGTGGTAGAGCCTCCACCACTTGCATGGGTATGCCGAACAAGATGACCTGCTTTCACCAACGCGTTGAACAAGACTGGTGCTGTCCACTGAACTTTCGATCTCGGTAACGGCAATGGTCGTGGCATTGCAGATACAGTCCCATTTGCAAAAATTCTAGTCCCTTTGCTCTGTGCATGAAGTCCAACATTTATTTCTGAGGAAGATGTTGTGGTATTATTCTTTGCATCTACATTTTTTTCTTTTTTAGCAGTCTCACTATCCTCTTCTGCGTCTCTCCTCTTTTCATCGTCTGTACTTGTCACAGAACCGGAAGAAATATTTTGAATTTGAAGGGTGTTGTCCTCTTTTTTATCATCGTTTGTAGTAGTTTTGCTTTTGCTTATGCTCATCATGGGTTCATGAAGATGTTGATGAATTTGATCCCCGCAGTTTCGTATGACCTTACTGGTGGGTCCCTTTCGCAAGAAAGCAGGCACTTCTGGCGAAACTCGTTTACTTTGCATATCGACACCAGGTCCAAGCAGATAATTCTTTGCTCTGCCGGTGGCTGCGACTGGCTCAGATTGATGTAGTCCAGCTGGGTTCATGTTATTTGCGTTCTCGTTCCCGGTTTGTACCTCGTTAGTTCCTCCTCGCTTCTCAACATCATCATCTTTCTCCACCTTTCTCCTAGCCCCAAGAACGAAATTTTTTTTGCCTGCTTGCACTGCATCTCGGACGCTGGCGAAGGACTCTTCTAACCACTCCCTATTGACAGCTTGGACTTTGTCACCGTTGTTCAATATGAAAGTCCGACCCGCCGGTGGAGGAGGACCTTGTCGACCAACACCGACTTTCCTACTTTTCAACGTTGAAGGCAGAAACCTACTCCATGACGCCGAAGGTTTGAATTGAGAAGCGTCTGTAGTGCTGGTTGCCAAAGAAGCAAGCAATACGAGCAGTAACACATTCGACATCGCCATTGTGAAACTAGCGCTTTTTCGGCTCTCTACATGATTCTTTAGCGAGTTGCAGTTGTACTACTTCTGAATGGGGAGGTAATATCGGCAACGGTATATCGTAGGGGAATGAATGAGTGAATGAATGTGCCCACTCTAGGGGTTAAGACAGACACGCAATGCAATGCAATGCAATTAATCTCGCACAAGCACAAAGCTCAGCGCAGACTGCCATAAGAGCGTCGTAGATGGTCTACACGATGGATCTCACGCAAAGATTGTAATAGCGAAGCGGTACGGTTACGAATGCATAGTTAGCACCACCTCACCTGTAAGTCATGGCATCATCCTCCGCTTCTGCTACGAAACCTTCACTAGAAAAAAAGCCCAAACTATAGAGGGCGACGCCAGTAGCCGCAGCTCCCACAGCGATCTTCGCACCGTGGATAGCCAGGAACCCAGGATTCGTGCAGCAGAGATCTATGGCGCAATCGCGTTCATCGCACTTCGCCTTGGGATCCAAAACTAGCTCTGCATTTTGGCAAGCGACTTCTAGGGTCTCGGCTTCTGCCCCACACCACAATGCGCAACAAGTGTCGTGGTCGCTGGTTTTGCATTCATGCGTTTTGCACAGGGCTTTTTTGTTCTTCGTCAACAACTCGTGGTTGCTCTGAAGACACATTTTGCTACCCGTCTCGACGATGGTGGCATTTGTATCTCTGTCTACTGGTGCCTCCACGTCCTCCTCCTCGTCATCGTCACTACTGCTTTCGCTTTCTACGAAGGATTGCTGTCCTGCTGTTGGAGGCGAGCCAGCACTTCCAATATTGCCAACATAATCCACTGCAATGATTGTTTGCTCACTGCGCAGTTTGTGAGTTTTTTTCGCATTTTTTTGCCCATTGGAAGAGCTCTGTCTTCTTCCACTTCCTTCTCGCCGAACTGAAGCTCGCTTTTCTTGCTCCTGGTGAGAGGCGGATACTTCTAGAGCCGAACTACTATTACTGTCACTGCTTGTCACTCCAAATTCCTCCTCTGCTAGAGAAACGCAGGTCCGTCGGCAAAAAGGCTTCCCAACAGTCATGGGTACCTCGAGGACGTAGTCGGGGCTAGTGCACGCAGCACAGTGATGGTCGCCAGTGACTGTGCAATTTTTCCCGACAACCGGGGTTCCACCGGGACAGGTGCACACTTTCCATCTGCACAGATCGGCATGAAGCTCAAACCCATTTTCGTCAAAGCATTGGTGACATTTGTGATTTCCGTTGGCAGGGCAGTGGCGACCAGTTGCGGCGATTCCGACGTCATCTGCAATAGTGCCTTCCGGTGCTCCTGCAGGGATGGGGCATACGCACACATTTAAGACGCATGAATGGTACACGTTGCTCTGTGGAGGTTCGATGTGGTACCCCTCCCGACAAGTAGCGCAGTTGTTGTGTTGATCTTGGATGCACCAGCCATTTGCCTTTGCATTCCCATTCTTACACGCGCAAACACACTTCTCACATTTTCGTAACGAAGATGGCGTTGCTGCGACGGGATGCGAACAGTAATTCTCTCCGCTACCCGGTCCAGGCTTGTTGCACGGTCGCAATTGACTCTAGACTTCGTGCTTTTTTGGCACGTGCATGCCGCGCTTGCCTTTGGAGTACCACCGTCACAGGTACACTCGCACTGCTTGCATTTATGATCGTCATCGACGTCGAGATACCATCCAGCGTCGCAACTTTGGCACAAATTTTGACCATCTGTCGTGCAAACTCCGGCTGCATAGGCAGTTCCATGATCACAAGTGCACTGGCATTTGTTACAGCTTTTTCGGTCTCCAGGTCCAGAGAGCGAGTTTAAGCAGTAGTTATTATCAGTCGCTTTCTCGCACGACTCGCAGTTGACTTTATCGTTACTTGCTTCGGTACACGTTGTGGCTTTCTTTCCGTTGGAGCACTGTACATTGCAAGCCTTACACTGCCTGTCCCTGTCCTGTAGGTAAAAGCCATCAACGCAGGAAGCGCACCTGTGCTCTTGATTGACACTGCACAAGCCATCCGCAACTGGAGTGCCATTACTACACGCGCACTCGCAGAGCTCGCAGTCCTTGCCGTTGAGGCAGTAATTCTCGCTTGCGACATTTTTCTTGCAGGACGCGCACCAGGTTTGAATCTTGGTCCCGTAGTCGCAAGTACAGTCGCTCCCGGTTTGTGCTGTTCCGGAGCTACTGGCACAATTGCAGATACATTGTTGGCAACTTTGGTCGGAATTTAGGTAAAAGCCCTCTTGGCAGGTTTCACAGAGGACTTGCTCTTCTGCGCCATTGCATGTGCACGAGCTGCCCGTCTTTGGGGTGCCATTTGGACATATACACTTGCACTGCTTACACTGCTTGAATTCTTTATAGTATCCCGCATCACATGAGCTGCAGGAAGCCACGTTATGAACTAGGCATTCGGTTTGACTTGAAGGAGTTCCTCCAGGGCAGTTACATTGGTTCCAGTCGCAGCACTGATTTTTAAACCGGTCTGCAGTGCACTCGAGTGGCAACCATATATTATCACCGCCATTTGCTCTGCGATGTCTTTCGGCCTGAGCTATTTGATCTTTGCCATTTGTTACGTCGGGGTCACAGAATTTCCGCTGCCAGTTAACATCTGTGTTTCCGGGATAGTGTTTGCCCGCGGGGCACTCGACTCGGAAAAATTTTCGTACGAACCAGTCCACACACAAATACAAATCGCTGCTCATCGGAAAGTCACACATAAAATTGGTGTTCGACCTGTCGTTTGCCCACTCGCAGTCACCGCGTGTCAAGCACTTCGCTCGATCCCAAAAGCAATGCAGGTTTTTTCCGTGCTCGCAGTAGAAATGGCTGAAGCACGTCCCCTTCCAATGCCCTACAGTGTACCATGGGTTCGCGATTCCCTTCATCTTCATTTTTGTTTTTTTGTCTACTAAAGAAGTAGATGTCCTCGATGTTGGCATGCTTTTCTGTGCTACCACCTCGACCTCGTCCTGCTCGGGAGTACTAGAACGATTCATATTACTATGATGTTCTTGTATGAGATGAATGGGTATCATGCTTCTTTTTTGCAAAAGCATCTCGTCAAGATGATCCATCTCCATGTTGCGTCTAGACGTGCTGATGCTGTGGTTGTTTTCATCTGCTACAAAATTCGAAAAACCTTGTCCTCCATCCATGCCCAATTGAGAAAAATTTCCGCCTTCCACCACAAAGTGTTCTTGTTCATCAGCTTCCTTCCCGCCCTCAGGGCCATGGGCATGGACTTCTTCCTCATCATCGAGTTCATCCACTTCCACCAAAGCATCTAGATCTACATTTTTTAGCTCCTCATTGCCATCGTTTTTAGCATCATCATCATTTATATGTTGTTGTTGTTGTTGATTCCCCAATTCGCCATTCCTTTCCTTCTCATCCTCAACAGTCTTGTCGACGTCACGGAGTTGCTCCTTCTCCAAGTCATCATCGTGGTCGTGTATATGCATCCTCGAGGACGAGACTTCATCTGGAGGCACGATGAGCAGCTTTAGTATAATTAGGAACGACGTCCGCAAAGTTGCTTTGGTCCTCGGCATCAAAAGCCCTCGTCCAGTAGTTGTAGCATTAACAATTGCAAAAACATCATGCGGGCTCTTTCTCTTTCTCTCTCTTGAGACCAATCCTCGCTTGTTTCTGCTTCCCAAGAGGTGGACTGGGCCATGATTTTTCCGCCTGTCCCCTCCCTCCATTGTGCCCGAAAACCAGTTCGCAATCGAAAATAGTACGCTGAACTCACCACATCAAGATCGTCACGTCTCTTGCAGTATTCCCAAACTTCTACCGGTGAGACGAAATGCAGTAGTTCTGTTACTGCGCCAAGTATTCAGCTAAAAGACTCCTGGTCCTGACACAGAATCTCGCTTTGTCTGTCTAATACATGTGCTTGCGCGGACGCAACTGCAATGCGAGCGGGAGAACGCACCACGCGCACACAAGATGACAAGAACATGATTTTCAGACTTCTAATTTCAAAAAAAATTCAACTGCAACTTTCATAAGGATCTGATCATCGATTTTTTTATGCCAGTAGAAAAAGTTTAAGGTTGGGTTTTTCTGCAACTGTAGTTGCAGGGATCAGTGATGTCTTCATCAGCAATGGAATCCTCTCTCTCACTCTGCTGATGAAGACATCATCAGTTCTTCAACAGGATTGAGCTCTTCTGGAGGTATCTTTTGACGCGTGAGCGACTACGCTAGATCTTAAAAGTGGCGTTGTGGAATTGCGTGTGGGAAGGGGGAGGTGGTAAAATCTTCGCTGGAGTACTGTGGGGATACTTCTGGGATTCGCCGCTCGGGCTTAGTGATTGTTGTAGTAGTTTTTTGTGCTTCGACCTCCTTAGATGTAGTTGTATTTTTGAAGTATCATGCGTGGTCAATGGGGCAATGATGACTGACTACGACTAGAAAAAAGAACTCGACGTTCAGCTTCAGCTAGCAATAGCGTACTATACAATAAATGATAACCGACTACTAGAAAAAAGTCCTAGGACTGGTATTTTTGCCTCTAAAAATTTAGCACATCTGAATAATGGAGGATCCACATCCTCGCACAGAGAAAACACTGCGGTGTAGAGATAAGGTAGTACCAAAGGAAATTCATAGGTTCTTGTGCGCACAAAAGCATGTCGGTGTTTTTTGAACAAGAACAACTTTGAGAATCTATAAACCTTCGAATGCGGACATTTTTCTCAACTAGCACGATTACGATTAGGTGAATGTGAAAAAAGGGAAACTAACATTCCAGTGTTTGCAAAATCCCTTGTAAATTTCGCTGTCCTTGAAACTCTGCATGATCCAGTGTCTTGTTTTCTCCGGCGTATGGCGATGTAAAAAGTGCACACATGGAAGTGCGCGACCTCCGTTATCGACTTTGTCCAGATCGACTGTAAGCATTGCAAGGCTATTAGAAAAGCTCTCCTCGTCGAGGAGTTATATTAATTTTCCGTCTGTCACTGTCTCAGACTCTTCTACCTTCACGAGAGTATGCAGATGTTCCACATCTAAGAAAACGGGGACAGAATGAACTCATTTGAGAATATTGTCTGGAAACAGTAGTTTCCTGCGGAATTATGATAGATGATGTGGCTTATCAAATTGAAGACTCAACATAATTCTACCTGTCAGGTCGAACAACGGCCGACTCGAAAAATCCTGGTCAACCCCATAGGAACTGTCGTAATCTGCTTGCATCACAACAAGTTAGACCGGATAAGCTTAGTACTCAAGAATCTAACACGGACTGTAGTCAAAATAAGATTGAGCACTCTGAATATAATCACAACATTCTTCTACATTGAACTACTAGTTCAGAACCAAATGGCGCAAGAAATGCATAAATACGCGATAAGTAACAACAAGTGCAGCTCCGAGGACTCATAAAGATAGAGTTTCTTCTGGGTTTTCAGCTGATTTTTCTTAGCGGTCGAGTTGAAGTAAGCTCTCATTTCGGAGATTGGAACACCAATAAACTCGTTAGGCCGTCAATAGCGATAGGCATTCCTCTCTCGAAAGAGGCCCGCGGCACTCATCGTATGTGGGCTTGTCCTCTTGTTCCCCACGCCCTGACATAGTGATGATCAACAGTTGATCATCAACTTTTGTTACTATAGAAAAAATAAGAGCGAGTGCTCAATTGTCTCATCTTCAGAAGTTGCATAGAATTGACACGAGTACGAGCATGGCTGCTGTTCATGCTGGAGGTGCCTCCTTTCGACTCTTTTGTGAATGATGCTCCCACACGTGGCGCTAGTATCCTCGCTGTGTCCTTTATAAAGCTCGCCATACGATCATCTGACCAATAAAACTCGAGGACTGCAGATTGCATTTCCCTGTCTGCTAGTCGAAGCTCGTGAGGTTTGCATACACACCTGGAAGTAGAAGTAGGTTTTCCATCTGTGATCATACCTACAGCGTCCTCAGCTTTTTTCTCTCTACCTGGAGCCCCTTGATGGTGCGCCCTTCGACATTACTACTGCTCCCACGGATCAGGATCAGCTTCAGGCTCAGCTTACGCTTACCAAACTAATATTATTTATTACCGATATGCTAGCAATACAGTTACAAACTAATACCCGACATAAGCCTTCGAAATTTTATAAAAGTTGCCGCGTGCTGTTGCCACTGTCTCAGCAACTTTTTTTGCAGCCCATTCAACATCAAGGCCATCAGAATAGGAATTGACGTCATGATCGGCTTCTTTCCCAGTGCGTGCATCGGCGACCTCCCGTCGAGGACAACTTTTTCTGGCATGGTTAGGATTGGCAACAGCTTCGAGTGACTATGAGTAGTTGAATCTCTTTAACTGCCTTTCAGCAGTTGAAGGAACATCAACAGGAGAAACTAGAGGTACAGTATTTCTAGTGGTTACGATTGCGAAGATGAAGAATAAATGCGAAGGTCCTCTAGTACAGAGTCAGAAATTTGCCTATAAAGTCGCTTATACCTCGTGCAAGAGAGGCTTACCGTTACCGGCGGAGATTCAATTGGTCTACTTTCTCAACCCGAGATGAGATGACAAGAGATCTTAGCCTTGCAAGAACTGAAAGAATATTACTTACTCGGCTTGGTCTTTTCTCGCACTCCTCGTGGAGGGCGGCAGTTGATCTACTTACTGATCGTATCGTCTGTTGTATCATTAAATAACCGATAAGATCAGAAAGTGTGAGGATCGTCTTCACATGAAGAAGGACCGTCTTGACATGAAGAGCCTGTGCATGTGCGGTTGGGCAACATGATGCCTCCTCTATTAACGCGCAATAAATACGGATAAGCTTGACGCTGAAGAAAGACTGCTAAAAGTTTGCAGCTAGTAAAAAACACATATTATCCACGAGCGCGCATGCGTCAGCAGTATAAATGCCGAAGCTTCAATCATCGTTTTCCTCTTTCGGATGCGTGAAAGCTGGAGACATTCATGCATTTGTATAGGGTGACGAGGTCAATACCATGTTGTATGGTGGAGGCGACAAATGAGGTTATCTGGAAGGAGTGTCGTCTAATCTTCGGGTTTAGCATGAAGGTGCGTTCATCTTTACTTAGGTATAACTTAGATCATAGAATTACAAGATGCTGGAACAAGTCATGGATCTTAATGTTGGCGATACAGCTTGATGAATGTCGACGAGTGAATCTAATTGTGTAAGTAGTACCTACGATATCAGAGGAACGCAAAACCTAGCTGATAGTGCCTAAGTTGAGTTTCATTTTCATTAGATGTAAAAAATACAAACGTTTTCGTTTATTCCTCGAGTTCTTGTACTGTTTCATTATCTTCATCGTCCCCTAAAACATCCCCATGCTAGTCGCGGATGCATCGACATCACAAGCGTCGTCCATCGATAGAAGGCTCTTTTTCACCACCCATTTTCTAGAGTTGTGCTCCCGTCCACCGCCACTTATCGTCTTTCTCCGACGCTCGGTGCTTTCTTTGCTCTTCGTCTTATTTGCAGAGGTTTTTTCTGGTGTAGTGGGAAGTGATGATGGGGAGGAGGTTATATTCTTCACTTTCCGATTTGGAGTGCTTGAGTTTGTCACTGACTCACCAAGCTTTGGTTTTGGAACCCAAAAAACTCGGACTTTTCGACGTTTCTTCTTTGAAAACTCCTGTGCTGGGTCAGTTGTGCATTTGAGGGTCTCCTGCTCAGCAGCGACAGACAAGCCTTTTAAGGATGATAACCTTCCATTCTTGCTCTGAGTATGATCGCCCACTTGCAAAAGTTCGGCAAGAATTTGTCTCGTTGAGGAAGGAGAAGCTCTTTGACCATTCTTCTTAGAGAACGATGTTGAGGAGGCCTTTGATGACCTTGACGTCGTTGTCGACGTTGATGTTGAAGAAGCTGTTGTAGTACTAGAAGTAGATTCCTTGTTACTCATCGCGTCGAGTAATTTTTGCAATAAGCGTCGTCGAATGAGAATGACTGATTTGGCTTTTTTGCCCTTCAACTCGTTTACTTCCGCCTGTTGTCGTCTAAAAGTGTCCATGTCAGATTTCGGAAGCCACAGTTGACGACCTACAGTCTGTCTTCGCGATGAAGTCGCTGTCGTAGAAGTCCTAGTGTTTTTCCTTCTCGATTTTTCTCCCACATAGTGAGACGACGACGCCGACGCACTAATTGAATCAGTGGAGGCAAGTAGATTTGGAAGTAGAGTGTCCTCACTACGATTTTCCTCGTCTACGCTCCTCTTAGCTGTCCCTTCTTCATCTTCTACACTTCTACTTCTTGAGTCGATTTTCATTAGACCTAAGAGAAATCCATCTTGAGACGCATCTTAGAACCTTTCCCCCCTTGAGCACGGTCTCAGGATGCTCGTGAAGATGGATTTCTTGTAGCCTTAATTTCAATAGCCGATGCTCTCCTTGCCCAGTTGCGGATGCGTACTTCTTCAGAAGTTCTGCTACTTTTCCTGAGGAAAGCGCTTCAAACTGCTCTTCGAGACTGCTGTTTTCGTCTTCGTAGGAGAAGCAGTCATCTTCATCCATTGCCACCCGCACCACGCTACTGCTACTGCTCTGACTAGTGGCAGACAGTGAAGATGCTGGATTTTGCTCACGACGCAGCTGTTGCTGTTCTTCTACACGACCTCCTACTATTTTAAGCTCAACATCTTCTTCTTCATCATCGTCATCGTCCAAAACGTAGAACTCGCATTCATCGACATCGCCTATGAAAAAACAGTTCTCAGGTTCTACGTCACTATTCGTCTTCTTCATACAACCTGCAGATCTATTTGATGATGCTGAGCCAGAAGATTGTTCAGGTCCGGCAGACGCTCCCACCTGCACGTCTCCCGCAACAACTTCAAGAACATCTTCGTCATCGGCTTCTGCAAAAGACACTGATCCCTGCTCCTTTTGCAATGGGGATGGACAGGCGGTGGATGCCGTTGTCACTGTGCCGGACTTAGAAGTGCCGGACTTAGAAGTGCCGGACTTAGAAGTGCCGGACTTAGAAGTGCCGGACTTAAGGTCTACCCAATCGCATTCGTCAGAGTAGCAACATCTGTGGTCCTCAACCACTAGACCACCACCTGCAAAGTGAGGGGGCACGGGAGAAGACGGCTGCATTATTGTCTTTTACAATTATGTAGTTGGCCTAGCTGTTGGAGCTCGTACAGTTCTTGGCCTACTGTTGGTACGACGAGTACGAGTAGATAGAGAGACTTGTTCGTTTGCGCTAGCGAGCTTCATGATCATGATTTAAAGATTTCCTTAGAGGATCAGGATGGTAACTTGGATTGATGACAGTCAATACGTAGAAGAAAAATTCAAGTAAGACTTAAAGTCCAAAAAAAGGGAAACAACGACAACAAAACAAGTTTATTTCAAAAATCGTGCTTCATATCACATAGAAGTACACACATAGCCACTGAGGACGGGTAGGGGCAGGCGGGAAGATAATTTCCAGATATACTATAATCGTAGTTTCTCCCCTCGGCAACTCGTCTTTGAGTACGTACTTAGCACGATATGAAGCTATGCTCAGTCTACGACATGATTCTTGGACCACTTTGTTTTCTCTCGACTTGACATTCTTTGACCCAATCTCAATAGCAGGACATTGCCAAACATCAGAGCATTTGATGTATAGTCGCTCACATTTCAGACACCAACATGATCAGACTCTTTTTTTTCTCAGATGGATTGGAGTTACCGGCCATAGTCATCTTCGAGCACAAGCAGGAAGGAGCTTCTCGTTTTAGAGTGATGGAGGTGGTGTGTGTGTGTAGCTCACCCGTAATACTTCGAACACAAATGACTTTTCCATCGGGTCTCCGTTCCGATTACTGCCCACTGGGACTCTTTTTCTGTCTCTTTCACAACTACAAGAATGCAGCTCTCGTTTCATGTGTGAACCACACAACTTACCAATATCGTTCTTTTCGCATTCTCAACACGTGGTTCGTTGACGATTCTCGTTCAACGCAGTCATGAGGAACCTAGGCAGTTTCACTGACTACACAACGATAAGCGCTCCTAATTGTCAATGATTTTGCAGTTGTGATCACTACATTGATTGTCAGAAGAATAGATGGAGACGCTGATGCTCAATGGTTCGTCACATGATAACCAACATCGCATTTGTAGTTAAGTTTCTTGTCTTTAGTTTTCAGAGACGAATTTTATTGGTACCATCATTAAATCACGACTACAAGCTGCAGACATCCACGTGGGATCTGTAGCTTCATCTCAGTTATATGCCCTTTGCGTGGGAAGTTGTACTTACCTTATTCATCTGAAAAATTGGAGGAATTGCATGCTATCAGAAAGAGGGGTAATAATACGTATAACAGCTCGAGCATGCTCTGGCTCCGAGTGATGATGCAAAAATGTTTTGACTAAAAGCTTGAAGCTCAAGTGTATTTTGTAACACATTCACAAGAAGAAGAGACTGCACCCAATTTAAAAGTGTTTTGGTTGTGCTTTTCACTCGGATGCTAGATCTAATGCAATAGCCATAACAAGAATTATTCGAAGATCCGCACTAGACAGTAAACGTTTATTTCTTGATGTTTGCCCAAAATATATCGGACAATGATGCAAAGTCAATTTCCTAAATTTCTAAATTCAAATTTTCAAATTCCCTGATACATACTCTTACTCGCTAAGTTTATATGATAACATCCACATCCCATCGACACTCACTTCTTTATTGATTTTTAGGTAACCGGCCATGGTTGTTCCATCCACCTTGGGTATTGACTGCATGCTGTAACCAAAGAACTCCTCTCGCTATTTTGCGTCGTACCACCTAGAAAGAATTCCACTGTCGCCCGCAGGCCTGCTCGCGACAAGTATGCGTCGATTTCGGCAGGAGTAGGCGGACGTAACAGAGGGGGTCGCTTCTCTTGTAGTCGAGTAGAATCAGGATCAGCGTTTTGTGAAGAGCTACTTTTTCGTTTCGCGCTCGCCGTCGCCACCTCTAGGATTCTATTCACCTTTTTTCGCGCTCCCCATGATCTTCTCCTTCTTAGTGCTCCACCAATCAAACTAGAAGATGTTTTAGCACTCTTCGACGACGTCTTGGTCTTGGAAGATGCACTATATTTGTTCCTCCCAGACTTTCTGCCGGTGCTGCTCTTCCCGCCCTCTGGTTCCTCAAACCTTTTGAGTGCTTCCTCCTCAATGCGTTTCACAGTCAACGACCGAAGAAGCATAAAATGGGTATGCTTCATAAGCATCTGGAGATCGGATAACTCCACTAACTGTGTTGACGAGCACATGTTCTGACAAGTCAAAGATGTACTTGTCTTTGACTTTGACATCCCGATAGGATCATCTTCTTGTCGAAAAGTTTCTTGTCGTTGTTGTTCTTGTTGCTTTCGAAAACACTTCAGCGTGTTCTGCCTTGTTCTCCAGACTTTAGCAATGGCACGTCCGAGGGCGGACGCAGATGAGTCACCTTGTTTTTGTCTCGTGCCCTTCTTGTCGCTATTTTTGGATGAAGCAGCTGCAGACAGAGAGGACGAACCTGCCGAAGAAGAACCGCTCCTACTAGCACTACCTCCAGAAGAACCCGACGAACTCTGCAAGGATTGATGATACAAAAGAGCCATGGCTTTCGCACGCACTTCTCCAAGGATGGTTGCGCCACTATGGAGCGACCGTAGCGACGTCGAAACTGCTGGCGCGCCTGAATTGGCAGTGATCTGAAACCGCGAATCAAATATGTAGCCTTCGTCCACGACTGTTGAACGTTCGTCGATACGGATGTTAGAAGGGAAAGGAGGGAAAGACGAAGACGAGCAGAGTACTCTACGGTGGAATCTTTAGTATCGTGAATATACACCACATAGCGTACCCACCATAACTTGGGAAAATATCCTGTCGATGTATTTGCCTATCTCATTCTCCATCTGGGCCAAGGAGGATTTCGACGAAAGTGCTGTCGTCACTAAAGCTGGCGCAATGTCTGCAGTTCGGACGTAAACATCAATCTTCTTCGTTTTCTGGCTCATTTGTTGAGGCAGCTGAGCTGCACCATGCTGTTCTTGTTGAGAATATTAGACCTTCCCTTTCTTATTCATCTTGAAGCGCATTTTTGGGCTTTTTTCGTTTTCCCCTTGAAAACGTGGCAAAGTAGATCTAGATGCTAAGATGAACTTGGGGAAGCCTTAAGAATAAGACGAGGAGGAGGTCGATGGATATGCAGCATATTGGTAGTTGCTAGTATCATCTTTGGGCATCGAATATCCCCTGAGGCGATCGTATTTATCTACAGCGACATGCAGCCTCAGCAGCGACACGAAACCTCTCTCATCACCTGGAATTGCAGCTGCTTCCCGCAGTAGGCGGTCCTCCTCTGGATTCCACAATGTGTAAACCTTAGGCCTCCTCTTCTTCTCCCACTCTGAGTAGTGCATACTAGTGAGAAGAAGGCCGCCGTTCCCCATTTTCAAGCAACGGTAGTGGGGAGGACCCTTTGGGGGGATGGGTTCGTCAAGTGGAGGTGCATGTTGTCCACGATCTGCCTCTCCTGTTGCATCTTGTTGTTGACCTACCTCTGTTGCATCATCGCCTCCCCCACCTCTTCTCGCCGTCATTTCGCTGCCAGGTCGTGACCCACCTCCAGACCAAAAGATTGATGCTGCTGACGAAAACATCTTACTCAACATGGAAAAAGATGATCCATCTGAAGAGGACGCTGCACTAGGTCTAGGTGATCCGGCAACTCCGTTGTTTCTCACCACACTCAATGGCGTCTTCTCTGGTTCAGCGGCGCACAAGTCTTGTTGTGCGATGACGTAGATTCCCCTTGGTGCTCCAGCATCAGTTGTGTGCCGTTTCATCTCGTGCATCAAAGGAAATAGGTAAGAATCCGTCAAAGCTTCCAAAGCATCGTTCGAGAGCTGCACGGAAGTGGTTATCTGTTTGAGAGACGTTTTGACGTGGAAGGCGTTGGGGTTGGAAGATGACAATGAAACTTGAAGTAACTTGAAGTTGGACTTGAAGGGGCCTTATATTATAATCAAAACTACATAGACGTAGTAGTACAGTAGAAAAGATGTACTACCCGCTCAACAACAGTTTTCTCGTATCTGTGCGCGAGTTCGATTGCGAAGTTCATAGCATCCCACACTGCAGCAGGAGATAACTCAAAAGACGCACGTGTCCCACTAAAGAACGTTATCATCGTGGCACTAAGATGTCGCTGAAGACAGCCAACTCCTGGCTTTCTACCTGCTCTGCTGGTTTTACTGTTAGCTCCAGTGTTTTTCCCTTTACGCCATCCGAGTGATCGCTTCACCTTGCGTCGAAACCGGCTTACTGTATCAGACCTGTCGACTCCTGCTTCGTCGGCCGCATTACCACCACCATTACCTCCTCCATCAGGTTCATAAATGATACATCGCGGATCTCGTAGAACGTCACGGAACAAGATCCCAGCATCAATCGCTAGCGTCGCCATTGGTGCTTCCAGTATCGGGAATGGGCTGTCCGAATGTCCAAAGTGTGCGATGATATTGCCACCTTGCTTATTCGATCTTTGAACAGCGGCACTGTATTCTGCAAAGATGTCGGCGTTAGCTTGCTCGAAGAGGGTCTCATCTTGCCCGGCTCCTCTCCTACTGTTTCTTTTCTTAAGCTCCCTCTGAACTTTATCAACTCCTCCTTTTGGTCGTTTTTTCTTTGCACTAGCCTTTCTGTCCTTCATGCTCTCAGCATTTTTCCGCTCCCTTTCATTTTCAGCCACTGCTTGCTGCACGATGTACTTCTGATGCATGTAATGCTGCGCTAGTGGATTCTGTGTAGCGTCTCGTAGAGCACTCATAAAATCTACGTTCGAGTTCCTTGCTGCCTGAATTTCCACGTCTGCTAGGGTATACGTGATTTCTGAACCAGGTGACGGTCCCTTCTCGGCACGACCTGGTAAGAACAGAGCTGTCCGCAGAACGTCACCTAAAACCGCAGTATGTTCTGTGAGCCGCGACGCGGTTTGTACGACAGACGATAGGAAATCGAAATCTTCGAAGACTGATAAGCCTTCTTGGAGGTCCAATGATGTTCTTTCCATATCTCTTGCCCTTGCCTTGAAGAACGACGGCGCAACGAGATTGAGGCTTTCCTGGAAATCCCAATAGAAATCGAAAGTTAGAAGGGTTCTACATAGTTCTTCAGTTTAGTTTTGACCAACTCCTGCATCTACATGATATCTAGAAGTAGTCATAGTTGTAAGGAGGTTAAGAGATGAACATGAAGCAGAACAACAAGCTGTAGAGGAAGGGAACTATGTACATCTACAACGAATCAATGCCTTAAAATTCTTCTCTGGTATTGTTCTTCGTTCAATTCCGGCGCTGGTCGGCCACGGAAGTTCGTCGCAAAAGACGCGTGCCACAGGTCCACGAGGCGATAGAGAATGCTAGGAGGAATGGTCCCCATATTAGCGTTCTTCTCTTTGGGCGTTTTGATACCTCCAGTATATTCCTCGTACCAGTTCTGTAGCATCTTTTCCCAATTATACAAGTGAGGTGTGAGGACATCTGCGAGAAACGCAGCATCACCTTGAGTGTAATAGGCATCGACAACACGGCGCAAAAAAGAGGGTCCACTTCGATAATTGTCGCGGCTGGTAGTTGGAATCGTCGAAGTCGAACTTGGAACTCCTGCCGGTGCAGCACTCAAAGGAGCAGATAAGGGATCGTCATTCTCCAAAGTGGCAAACAGATCGCCTAAGAACCTTTCTGGCTCCGCGTGCTCGGTCAGCATTCTTACTAGCGTTAAACCCGCATCGACAGAATCGAGTGCCCTCTTTCTTGCTTTTTCGTTTCTTGAGAACCAACTCGGCATTACATGGCGCTCTGCTCCTTCATCCGTTGGTAGGATTTTCTTCAAATTTTTGAAGAGACTCTTCAGTTCTGCCGACTGGGAAGCGCGCTTGGTCGTAGATGTTGGTGTAGAAGGTGATGTACTTGAAGAATCGGCAGACCCAGACGTACTTTGCTCCAGCATTCCCTCGGTAGTTTCTACGTCTTGCTGACCATCTACTTTAGTCTCCAAGTTTAGTGTGAGAAGACCCTTGGTGATATCTTCCACGACATCTACACCATCTGCCTCAGCCTCTCCTTCAGTAGAATTAGGACCGGCAGAATCCTCCTTTTGCTCATTTCCACTTGATAGGCCTTCCTTCGCTTTTCCCAAATCGAAAGTGTCCCATGCCTCGTCCACGAGTGAATACCAGTATCCATCTTGCGGTAGGGTCGAAGCCCGTTCCAAGCTGTAAATCAAGGCGTGGTGAAGGAGTTCATCGATGACAGGCGTCGACACTGAGGTTGAGGTCGCAGGGTTGGGAATTTGAATGCTCTTTTGTCTTCGAAAAAGTCTTGCGAGAGTGAGAGAAGAGGGGATCATCGCCTTTGCACTGCCATCGTCATGAGTGTTCTTCTGCTTTTCAACTTCTGCGTTGAAACTTCTGATTTTCTCATTGACATCGTCGTTCTCAGCTCCTGCGAGAAGGCCTGCGAATTGAATCAACCAGGTATGGACTTCGTGTTTCAGGACAGGAGAAGCACGAAAGTTCATGGAATTCGAATCCTCCAAATGCAAATGGGGTCTGTTGTGAGGAAACAGCTTCTCATGTAGTTTCTGAGCCACTACCGCAATTTCAGTGTCGCTCGCCGCACTTTTTTCTTCGGCTGCTGCTTGTTCTGACGCACCTGAAGGATAACTGGCTATGTCTTCTGATGACTGACGTACTTCATCCTCAATACTAGCCAGCACCGCTTGTCTATTCGCCTGCACTAATGATGGGATCATAAGTTGCGTGTATGCTCGTTGATTGCGGGAAGTCATGTACAAAACAGTGAGCAAATCACGTTGCTCGGGGGTTCTTTCCCCGCTGTTTGTGCTGTCCGCATCACTCTTCAGTGGTCTAACTCCGATGTGCGGAGCTGTCATATCACTCGTCAAGTGCTCTGGCAGTAGTACGATAGGCTGTACTACACCTAGATGAGTCCTCTGCTCCCTCTCCACCCTGATGTTACTTTGTGCCTTTTCCTCGCCTAGTCCTGATTCGCCTTGCTTATTTGCCGGTTTTGGGCGAAACGTGGGTGAAGATGCATCCTTCGAATTCTCCGGATCTTCCGCCCCAGGAGTTGCCATGCACACATCATCCTCTTGCGCCTCAGGAGTTGCCATGCACACATCATCCTCTTGCATCTGTGAATCAGGCAACGACTCAAGAAAACTCTCGCTGTTTCGAGGGCAAGCTGGTGTGTCTCCTCCTTGTATCTTTCCAAGAAAACCCTTGTTATCGTTGGTGGTTCTTTCAACTGCTTGCTTTTGCACATCATGCTTTGGGCCGTTCTTGTCTTTAGCTCTGGCAACTCCTACTTCTGGATTCCCCGGTTCTGGCTGCGGCGGTTGTATCGGGCGACGGTTCTCGGGAATTCCTCCACGATAGAAGAAGGACCGCTCAGGACGAGAGTGTGTCCTAGATGAAGGTAATGTACTCGAGCCTTCCTTTTTTACATCGCCAGACTTCCTGCCAACAGCGCCGTCAATCTCTATTTCATCGGAGAATGTTGTGCCAACATCGTTGGAAGCTAAAGATAGGCCAAGGTCTCCGAACATTCGACTGAGGAAGCTTATACTTGGAGAAGATAATGCTTGAGTCGCAGCTACAACATTTTCACTACGTTGATCGGTTTTGCTCCCTGCTGGTGGCTCTTCGATGATGTCCTTTCGCTCGCCTGCGCTCCCTCCAGTTTCCGCAAAAAATTGACACTCGTCAGAAGTTTCGTTTGGCCTGAAAGAACCAGGGGATATCCCGCCTTCTTCTCCTTTGAGGCAGGAAACAGCCAATTCTTCCTCTCGTTCTTGCCAAAGATCCTCCCATGAACGCACACTAGTTACAAGATCTACTTGATGTCCACCACCTGCGTTAGTCCTTGGTTCATCGCTATCTACTCGAGGACCACCCATCGGCGACGGTCTCCCAGCAAAAATCGCTTCCACTGTACGAGCGAAGACGAGTCGAAAAATAGCCGGGTCGACGCAGACGCTAGGAGGAAATTTCCCAAACGCTTTACGGATTTGACTCCAGTTGCTATTTGCGGGAGATCCGGGTTTACCTAGAAGCATTTCTCGCAGTCTCTTTTTCCACATGCCACGTTCACGTTCAAATACCTCAGTCGCAAACACCAAACGTCGTAAGAGCAAGCCTACTCTTCTATTTTCTTCGTCATTCATTTTCAACATCGTGCCTTTTCTACTTTGATCGGGATGTTCACGATCAGCAAGGGTGGCTTCCCTCGGAATCTCTTGCAAGGCGATTCTGGCTTCGTTCATCAGGGCAGCAGGAGGGAGCATCAGCTTGTCGACAAGGAAATCTGGCAGCTGGCTTTTGTCAATGTCCTTGATCTTATTCGGGGATATACACGATCCCATATGATCAGTGAAGAGCTCCTGTCCCGGTTCCTGGTTCCCCTTGCCGTCGCTACCAATGTAGTTAGATCCTTGCTCATCCCCACCTGTACCACCAGAAGTGACATACCTCTCCAAATCGCTGTGGAGTTGTGCTAACGAGGAGAGGGCAGAAGCATTCTTGTGTGAAGATGAAGACTGAGTCGCATTCGACATGTCCACATGACCATCGTTTCGTCCGTTGTCTTCAGCTGGTTGATGATTTAGATTTCGTTGGAGGTGCTCAACAGAAGGTTGTGTGTGTGCGTGTTGTTTATGGTGATTCCAAGGATGAGGGGTTCGACTGCCTGTTTTCGTCGATGGCGATGGGGGTCTCTTCTCCACCATCCAAAGCGGCTGACTGTATTTCTTGCGTCGCGCTTTGTCCGCTTGAAGAATCGCATTCGTGTGATGGCCTTTAGGATCGTCGTGCGCTGCTCGTGTTTTCGACACCACAACAAATGTCCTATCCAAACTTTCATGCAACGGTGAACCATTTACACCCTCACAATGACCTGAAACAGAATGGACACATCGGCTCAGCATGCCCGGACCCAGTGAGACAGGAAACAACTGCTTGGGCTGTAGTTGGTCGTCGCTTTGAGGTACTTGTGATTGTGTTGTTGAGGCAGAAGTTGGAGGTGTAGGCTCTTTTGCAGCGTGAGCTTCGATGGTATTTTCGATACTTGCGACGTCATATTTCGATAAATACGCCGCTGGCCAAGAATGGTAGATGCCTGGAGGCCTACTTCTCTGGTGCGTCTCATCGACCTCCTCGGCATCCACATTGACAGGTGAAAAAGGAAGCGTCTTGAGAAAGGCATCGAGACTGTTCGTGGAGGACACGGGTTGCCCTGGGTCGGTGTCGCTACTCGTTAACTCTCCTTGTGCAGCCCTTGACTCGCCAGCATCTGAGTCCGCTTCCCTCGTCTGATGTTCATCGTGGTCTTCATCGACGTCACCAAGGAGGGTTTCATCATTATCGCTGCCAGGTGTTTTGAAAGCACCGCCTTCAACTTTCAAAGCTGATTGCAGTCGTCCAGTGACCGTAGCCAGCTCTATTTCGAGCTCTCCAGCTTCAGCTTCTGCTTCATCACCGACACTTCTGGCCCCAGCGTCATCATCTTGGCCATTCGTGTCTATCTCTTCACCTCCAACCTGCGCCGAAGATTCGCTCTCAAAGTCGAGCAGTGAGAGTTCCATATTCACTTGTATCAGCAAGGACAATACTTTGTCTTCTCCAATAGACAGGATAGGCGCTTCGAGAATTTCTGTGACTGCAAACATTTCCTCTTGAATCACCGCGGTTATTTGCTGGAGGTCTGCGGACTTCTTCGACACTTCTGAAGTCTTGTCGGCGGAAAGAGTCGACGATGTTCTTGAACTAGTACAAGAAGTAGGGCAAGATATCAAAGCCGGAGCTTTTGTTGCGCATTGCTTACAGTCGGCATCTTCTGCAATAGCTTTGGTCAGGTCCCACAAGGCTTTCTGAGCACGTTCGAAAGACAGTACACCATTTGGTATTTTTGGTGGCAGCTGCTGTCCGATGTTGCTACTAATATAATCACTAGGCTGATCATCATCTGTTCCTGGTGTCGCGATTGTAATGACGAAGTCAAGAGAGCGTGGCGACCCTGAAGCTGAACTACCGCTGTATGATGAAACAGAAGAACTCGACCACGAGGGACTTGGGGCAAAACTACCAGCTTCAGGTCTCTCTTCTTTTTTCGGCGGGCTCGACCATGTCTCGTTCTGCCCATTCACTGGGGCAGAGTTGTAGTTGAATCGCAATCCGCCTTCCAGTGGTGGAGATGCCGTGTTTACAACATCTGGCACTACTTGCTGTTGTTGTCCAACACCCTTGTTAATGTTATTGCCCTCGTCATCAGATGAAACACTAGACGCACGAGCATCTTTGCCCTTCTCTAGTGCCAGTCTGTCCGTCTGGAGAGCGGATCGCGTTAACAATTTTCCATGCGCCTCGAGCACCTCCATTTCTCGCGCCGCATCGCGACTGAGCGTAGGCTCATCCAGTAGGGCACGACGTGCAAGTTTGAACATGCGCCGATGCGAGTACTCCGCAACGCGATCGAGAAGTCGCAAGTTGTTGACTGTACGAATGAGAGGGTCCTCCGTGATGTTCCTATCATCTTGAGGCTCTTTGGGATCTCTAGGTTTAGTTCCACCACCTCTACCTGTAGTTCTAAACAGATTTTCCTCACTAGATGTAGGAGGCGTGTCCTTCACGTTCCAACTACGTTTAGAGGTTGCGACATTGCATTCTTCAGATCATCCCTGACGACCCGCCCTTTCCTATACCTATTGGAAAAAAGTAGTCAAGCTCAAGGATATTGGAAAAAAGTAGAGAAGCTCAAGGATGGTTGTAGGGAAGAATGCAATGTCGTGGTACTAACCCTTAATAAGTGGACCACCCGATGAAGTTGCGGAAAAGAGATGGTAAGCGTCAACATCCTCTAGTCCTAGAGTCAGTCCTCCTGGTCCTTCTTGTCCTCCCGCTTCGAATGCATTTCCCCCCGCTTCGTCTCCGACCATATTACTTTTGATTTCATTTTCATCTACTCGATAAGCGCTAGATTCTTGTCCTGTTGCTTTATCTGTTGTAACATCAAGTAGTGCTCCATACTTTCCGTTGCGGCCTTTTCGACTTTGTATGCGTTCGAGAAGCTTATTCCGCAAGGATCTCGTCTCAAACTGTGCAAGAATGAGCTCCCCAACGCTAAGACCCTCTAGTGTGTCGATTAACTCCTCACGAATTTCGTTGATGTCGTGTCTGCGAAGATGTTCGAGAATCGGTAGTCGTGGCGGTTCACTGCTCCTATCACAATGAAGCCAAAATCTCTTATCATTATCGTACTTTTCTACTTAAGAAACTTGATAATGATAACAGATTTTCGTTTCATAATCACCAGCAGTTCTTTTGTCCTGTATTTTTTCCTCTTCTTCAAGAAGAAAATGCAAAGTCTTAGGTGGTAGGGACCAGAACATTTCCTTTGAAGCCCTCTTCTCTACTAATATCAGAGGAACTCGTGGACGAGGAGCATGGTCTTCTTCAAGAATATCAGACGAATTCTCTTGTTCCTCGTCGTCCAGCACCGTTTTTTCTTCTCGCTGTTCGCCTTCAGGTCCTCTCCTGTCAGAGTCAGTTTGACCCCTAGTGCTAGAGCTCAAAACATTTCATTTATTGCGTTCATTTCTTCAGATTCCCAAGAAGAAAATTGCGAGAAATGACTTCTAGAAATGAAATATTCTGAGCCTTAATAGTACTAGCACTAGCTGTTCCTCTTCTCGAACTTCTCGATGGCACAGTCAGCACAGTGGCGATTTCCACTGCGTCATAGCCTTGTCTGAGCAGTGTCCTGGCATGATCAAACGCTTGGCTGGGATCAACGAACCCTGTCCATGGTGATAGTGTATTCCCTTCTGCCACTGCAACAAGTTGCACGACTCCATAGCCCCACCCGCCAGGCCTGTTCTGCAAGGTTTCGAGGTCTTGACTCCACTTAGAAGTGTGCCGGTTTAGTGTTGAAGGCTTCTCTTTCCCCTTCTGGTTCTGGTTTGACGAGAGAGGACGAACTTCACCGGAACTACCACCTACAGCTTCGCGCTTACGGTTAAGCATCACGTGATTTTTCACGTGAATCGCTTTCCTGACGAAATTACCTAGACTGTATCCACCCAAATTCTGCTCACCGACAGTCACTAGGACTTGCGTCCGTCTGGACCAAAAACTGGAGAGGAGTCCCCAATTACCAGCTTGCTGATA